AAATATGACATATGAACGGTTTGTCGTTGTAATTAGCATGATTAGAAAAATGAATAATTGCTGATTAATAAATTCTATAATATTCGTTCACACAGTGGATTATGTTAAACAAATATTGTTTCGCGCAACTTCACTCATCATGTAATAATTGTGTTTGAAGAACTTCATGTAATTAAAATTAACATACATTCATTGACTGATTTGTACTACGATGTAGCTTTAAAACGTTTATTTATCTATGCCGATTTCCTTGTTGATATCGGTACGCATACAACGTTGATGCCGATACGACAGATCTCTATTCACATACACGACGACTAATCACAATCGACCCGTACAGAAATGATATCATCGAGAGCGAATGACGAATCATTGGCACTCGACTGTGCCGTAACGCACTTCCGTTGCATTTGTACGGATTTACACCCTAGTTGCGCCTAAAGAAGTTATACTTCAAAAGTTTTTCAAGCACATTCTGCTTATTATTTTTCTTTACATATTGGTGATATTATTTAAATTACCTTAAGCAAATAGTAAATTATCAAGCAAACATTAGTAACATCACCTTAGAAATTTCTTAGGCTGAAAATTTGATAGAAAAAAAATGATGAACTCTTTCGATAATAAGTATCAAAATAGTAGATTGAAAAATCAAATTATTATTAATTACCAATACTACATCCATTTGCAATATGATCTTCTTAAACTGATTTTTTTTCAAGTCATCAAATATGTTACCTTGTCATTTGCTTAACACGTTAATCGCCACCATAATACAAGCAAAATTTTCATATGGACCATGGACCTATTATTAGCTATTTTATTTAAAAATGTATCAAGGAAATTTAATGTAAAGGAGAATTTTTTTGCCAAACACTATTTTTTATGTTACACACATATGACCGACATGTCCCTATATAAAAACTTTTTCATCGATGCCTCATGTAGAATGGCATTTAAAGTATTAAATTAAGATAAGAGTTGTAAAACAAAACTAGAATTTTATCTCAAATTAATTTTATACACATTCAAATTATTACCTTTAGATATTCTGTTCTAATTCAATAGGCGCATTCTTTTCTCTATCTTATTATTAAATGTGTGTCATTGAATTATATTGAAGACGTATAAATGTGTGTGTATGTTCGCATTTGTTTGTTGTATTATGAAAGTGAACGGATAAAATCGAACATGTACACATAAGCAGCACTTGTTCCACTTTATTATTATATTATTATAATTCAAACATGAGATTTTGATAAAATGTAATTGAAAATTTTTATATATATACTAGATGACCCGACAGACGTTGTGCTGTACCCACATCTACGTTTTTTTAATATCCTATACTAATATTTATACCGTTCAGTTAAAAATAATCATTATTGTTTTTCGAATTACTATTTACACCAATATATGAGTGATGTTAAATGTAGAACTGCTTCAAATGAAATTATGATTCTCAATTCCCACAGTTAACACTTTAATTATCCCTTTAACAAATATTAAAATATGTTCAATAAAATTGTATATTAAAAATTATAGACTGCAATTAATAGAACAAATTTATTTGCAATAGCTCAATTTATTTTAATGCCAAGGGTTATCCAATAATTTTAGTCATACCTGTAGATGTGGATGTATAAAATGAATGATTTTTTGTTTATTCACGACTAAAACATTGATTTTCCAAATTTATCACACGAAAAATCGTCTGCCTTTGTGATTGATAGTATAAGATATACGTATTGGAAATTGAAGTCTTTTAAAAGGTATAACAAATTCAGAAAGAATTAATATATAGCATTCGCGGTAAAGATACAATATCACCTTGAATGTTCCTACCCAAAATAATTGCTTCAAAAATGTTGCCTATAATTTTTATAATTTCGTACCATATTTTAACTGGTTTTTAGTAATTTTAATATCTAAATTACATTTTTCTCACGAATAATTCAATATGCATTATTACTTAAGTTCATATTTGAAGTGAATTAATTTGTCAAATCCTGTTCACATGTGCTCTATTCAACCTACGATAAACAAAATTATTGCAGTAAATGGAGAGGAAAAAGCGTGTGCTCTGCGAATTTTTTTTACTATGTTCCAATTTTCTTGATATTTTGGAAATAGGCTAATCTTAATCTTAAGTTCAGAAGTAAAAACAATTTGCACAAACATTCTAAAAAAATTCCCGAACAAACTTCAGGAAGATTCATGAAAATCCAAATTATAATTTAGGAGTATTAATAAAACTTACATTGTTACAGAAGAATTTTATATATAAGATATATATATATATATATATATATATATATATGCAATTAAAAATGTGCATTTGCATTTAAATTAAGTTATTAAGCCGAAGGACAATAAAGATATAAAATGTTTCTATTATTAATTCTTTTATGAAGGCTAATATTATCTAAAATATTTCTATTCCTATCGCTCCGTTCGGATCAGAGACACGGATCATGATTATGTAATTGGTTTCAAGGATGAATCTATGTATGTATAAAGGCTTGTTACCATGTACACGTATACGGATGTAGTACTATTAACAATTGGAGGAAGTTGGCAAAAGTTTACTTCCTGCGAATTACTAACACGGACACGCTTCAATGGGCCCCCATTAAGCCCCTATACATTTTAATAGAGATGTACGAAGATAATTATATTGATGGAATGGAACTAGTGGTTAAAGTGGTCCTTAATATGGACATTTTCGAATTTCCTTGCTCCCAGGGGCTCAAATGGTTCCAAATTGATAGAAAACAATTCACTGAAAGTTTTAGCTCTTAGTATTATCCCTTAGATAGTGCGCAATTTAATCAAAGTTTTGTATGGAAATAGCATGTAAAATTTTTCAAATTTAAATTTCTATGGGAGGAGGATCTAGAATGACATGTTTCTGCACCAGTGTGTATAAAACTATCTGATAATTAGGAGGATCTAGTATGCTATATTTTTGCACTAGTGTGTACAGAATTATTTAATATCCTTATTTATGCCGAGCACGTTGATTTTTGTGATTTATTTTTATGGGGGGGAAGATCTAGAATGCTGTATTTTTGCAATAGTGTGTATAAAACCACTTTATCAAATCTAATTTTTATGGGGGGATGATCTAGAATTCTATATTTTTGTACTAATATGTACAAAATTATTTGATATTCTGATTTATGCCGAGTATGCAGATTTTTGTGCTTTATATTTATGGGGGGAGGATCTAGAATGCTATATTTCAGAACTAGTGTGTTTAGATTTAGGTCGAGTACGCTGATTTTTATGACCGATGAAATTTAAATTTTTGTGTGGGGAGGGTCTAGGATGCTATATTTTTGCACTTGTGTGTACAGAAATATTTGATATCGAGATTTATGACAGAAATCTCTATGTTAAGGACCACCCTACTAGTGGTGTATGGAAACAAATTAGGATTTTTGAAAGATTTTGCTCTCGAAAGGAAAATCATTGGTATGTTTAGAGGATTTTTCAAAACATTGTTTTATTTGTATTCTTACAACCTTAATTTTTAACTATAGGGGGGCGTCCATTAATCACGTGACCGTTTTTTAGAGATTTTTGGACACCCCTTCCCCTTGGTGATTATATAAAAAATTATTCCAAGAATTCAGAAACATTGCATTATCATTATTTAACTGTTTCAGTAAAACTTTTGAAATTCTTTCAATGATTATAAAACATTGCATTAGTACACTATTTCAGTGAAAAAACATTGCATTTCACTATTTCAGTAAAATTTTTGAAATTATTTCAGGATTATGAAACTTTGCATTAGTTTTCTTTCCGAAACAAAATACATTTTTTTTATTTTGGTAGATAAATTACTTTAACTATTAGATATTAAAATAGAAAAATATAAATATTAAAAGTAAATAACTTAATGTAATAATTTTATTCTATAATTTCTATAAACAAATTCAAATCGTTGAAAAATCTTCCAATATATTATTCAGTTTTATTTATGAATATATTAGCCATTTTTTATAATATATATATTTTTTAACACTTTTGTAATATATTTTTTAAACATTTGTAAATTTGAAGGAAAGAAATTTCAAAATTAAATTATGCATTCACTTCTTTATATTTATATTATTAAGTATTTAATATTTAAATTAAAGTGTTCCTTTAAATTTTTATAACATATAATTTTTAATACTTTTGTAATATATTTTTAATACTTTTGTAACTTATAGAAATGAAATTTAAAAATTAAATTATACATTAATCTCTTAATATTTAACGTAACATATTTAATATTTATTTAAAAAAATTCTTTTAAAGTTCTTCAAACTATGTACGTTTCGACACTGAATGTGTGTCATCATTCAGCACATTAAAAAAAAAGCAAAAAATATTTACAATGTAAAAAATACACACAAATTTTAAAATATTAAAAATATTGGTTATAAATATATTTTTTAAACTTTCCAGCAATCTTGTAATTTTAAACATTTTTTTTTTTAAATATTGTAAAAATATGCTGAATGATGACACACATACAGTGCCGAAACGTACATAATATATTGCAATATAAATATCAAGAGGTAAATGTATAATTTCATTTCGACTATTTGGCAGCAAATAAAATTTAAAGAATATGTTTCAACGTCAAACAAAAAACTTAAAGTTTATATATATAGACAAACTTTGAGTCAACTTTAATTACCAAGAATTATTTTTAAATTCCCGACTGACCATCAAAACCAAAGTAAAAGTTCGATTACTCATAATTTTTAATACAAAAGTCACATATTTGAAATATGTGTCAAACTTGCTTGGAGCCCCCCAACTTGTCCATTACCAATTCGCCCCTGGCGTATACAAATCTACCACTCAAGAGGCCACGTTACAAAAACACAGAGAATTAAAATATATACAACAATTAGCCATTAATAGAAACATCAAATCGAAACCGTTCCAATTAGCATATTTAGCGCATCACAAATAATAGTGTCCAAACTTTTTCTTACCTTAACTAGAAAGGATAATAAAGCGATAATACTTGTTGAACAGCCAATAAACTTCGATGTCATTTTATCACTTAAAACACACTTTACACTTTTATTATAACTATTATTATTATTAGGCAAATTTACTACCAAATACTGCACACTCTATCACAGACATTAATTATGATCATAGTCATTTTGTACACGACGGCCGCACTATGGAAATTATTTCAAATGATAATGGATATATTTGTGCTTGATATTCTGCTATTCAAACGTCTTGTTATTGTGACAGGACTTTCATTTTTACAATTTTTGTCAAAGGATAAAACAGACATCCATGCCAGCTGCCATCTTGAAATAGCACTGAACTTGTTGAAGGAATGTCGGTAGAAGAGAGGGGAGAGAGAGGCGAGAGGGAAATGGAAGATAAGAAGTGGTGTTGCCAGATGGCGGTAGATGTTACGTACTGGGAAATTATTTGAAAATATTTTATTAGATTTTAAATCGAATTGAATAAATGGTAATTGAAACATTGTACTTTAATAAATGAATAAAGTATTTTTATATATATTTTTGATTTGCAGTCGCACTTTTGAATCATAGTCCAAATAAAAAGCAGTAAGCAATCAACTATTAACTGTGTACGCTTTATGTGTGTCATCATTCAGCAAAATAAACAAATTCTAAAAAATATATTACAGAATTTAAAAGAGCTAATAAGATTAATAGAATAATAATAATAACAACTCAATAATAACAAATTTAAAAAATATAACAAATTTAAAGACATTGTTTAATAAAAAAAACAAATCAATAAAATAAAATAATGAATTAAAAGTTAAATAATAAAATTATTTACTAAAATTTTTGTTATTTTTTTATTTTTTATTATATTTTTTATTTTTATTTCATGTACTTTTCGAAGGAATTTTACAAAAGAGTGAAAGAAAAAAGTAGAAGGGAATAGAAGATAAGAACTAGTGTTGCCAGATGTTACATACTTGAAAATTATTTGAAAATATTTTATCAGATTTAGAAAGAATAAATGTTAATTGAAGCATGTACTTTAATAAATGAATAAAATATTTTTATACATATTTTTGATTTGCAGTCGCATATATATTTTTGAATCATAGTCCAAATAAAAAGCAGTAATCAATTAACTATTTATTGTGTACGTTTCGACGCCTTATGTGTGTCATCATTCAGCACGTTCAACAAAATCTAAAAAATATTATACGGAATTTAAAGAAGCTTACAAGAACTAGTTGGTATTGGTATTTTGCCTTGAGGCAAGTTACATAAACTTCCCGATTTGTGTAAATAATCGATTTAATTCATGATAGATAAATTAATTTATGAGTAGTTAAAAGTATTCGAAGTGGATTTATTACACATTATTGAAAATCGAACACGTCAACCCGGTCAGAGTATTTTTTAAAAGCAAATTTTCAAAAATCAATAATTTTAATAATTGAGCCAGTTTTTGTAGGACTTTAATTGTTTAGCATGTTCATTAAAACCAAGTACTCTATAGTTATACAAATAAATCATCTAATTTTAATTTTAACAAATGTCAAAAGAACTACTCATTTTCTCAAACTTTGATGAATTTTTTAAATTAAACTACTTGTCGTAAGGCCGTAATATTTCACTAAGTTCTATAAAACTAAAGATATTTATCGCCCCAAAAAGTTCCATGAAAATCGGCTTAATTTTTTTTTCAACAGTTAATTACAAGAAAACGGCTCGGTAGATTTTCACCTAAAACTAATCAGTATCATTCCCAACTAATATCTTTCGAACAGTTTTTGATTTTTTAAAATCGGTTCGGTAGTATGAGCTTAAATGTGGACGAAAGGTTTAACACTTTTTTCCAAATTACAATAAACGGCTCGGCCGATCGTCGCACAAATCTGAGAAACGATAGTCCTCATCGAGATACATCAAATGGTTTTTAAATTTCTGAAATCGGTTCAGGCGTTTTTGAGAAAACGTCGATGAAAGGTCTAATTTTGACAAATGCAAAAAAAACGATACCAATTTTTGCAAACTTTGACGAATTTTTAAAGCTAAACGAGTTGTCGTAGGGCCGTAATATTTTAGTATGATCTAGAAGACTATGGTATCTATCGTCAAAAAAATAATAATAAGAATCGACGAAAAAAAAAATTTAACACCTTATTACAAGAAAACGGCCCGGCCGATCTCTATCAAAAACTAATCAGGTCGATTCCCACATAATATCTTTCGAACGATTTTTGAATTTTCAAAATAAAGTAATAAAAGTTAAGTTAATAAAGTAATAAATTGAAGTTTAACTGAAGTATCATTGAAGTAAGTTTTTGTGTCTGTTCATAAGCTTATTGCATTTGTAATTGTTTCTATAAAAATTAATTCTACAAATAATCTCCTTTGAAAAAACTGAATGCAAAATTTTAAGTGAGAAATCAAATGTGTGTTTTGGATCTAATATATGAAAACAAAATTCATATTCGGAAACTTATTATTAAAAATTATATAATAAATTCATAATAATTAATTTATAATAAAGTTATTTAAAATTTTTGAAAAAAAAGTTCAAAATCAAAATTCAAACTGATTGAAGTGAGCACTTCTATTACCACACACAAGATGTCGCCATGGTCGCAAGGAAATATTTTTAATCCACAACGCACTTAAAGTTATTAATAACAATTAATACGTAAACAAATTAGTAAATAAATATAGTAATTATAACGTACAATTATACTAATATATTATATACTTATTTTCTTTTACATCTTTTAACCTTTTAACCAAACTTTGTAGGTGTCGCCATTGACATTGTCACAGACAAACGTCAAAACATTTCACTATAATTCTGTTTCCAAATTTTTATGAATTTATTAAATAATTTCCTTATTTATGTGTGTATATTAAAATATGTAAAATAATTATAATATGTTGAGTGAATAGATATTAATATTTATTTATAGTGCAATAGGTTAAATAAAAGTCTGAAAACTATGGCGAATCATTACGAAGTGCCCAATTGGTAAATTATAATGTTTTCTGATTAGTTTTTGTTGATAGTAAATATATGTATAATTATTTAGTAAACAAGACTTTTGTTGTGTTCTTGTATTGATTTGCTTTGGAATTAGTATATGATTTGTTTGTTTTATAGCTTGGGAATTAGTAATAAATTTATCAATCTATATATGTATACACGTATATATGTATATATATATATATATATATATATATATATATATATATATATATACTTTAAGATTTTATTATAAAATACAATCAAAGATTTAATTCTAATTGCAACAATGTATATATTTGTCTAAATATGCCCAATCCACTTTATTACAAATCATAAACTACTGATTCGAGAAGTTGAAAAGACTTTCAAAAGTATTTATCAGACATCAATTAAACTTTATATATCACGTATATATATATATATATATATATATATATATATATATATATATTTATATATATATATATATATATATATATATTTATATATATATATATATATATATATATATATATATATATAAACACAAACATTTAATTCTATTTGCATCAATATATTAATATCATGTTTTAACTATGTCTGACTGTTTGAATTGTCTTTACCTCGAAAAAGACATTTAAAAGTCTTCAATAAAACATCAATTATTATTATTAAACATGGCAAAGTATGAAAGAATATAATTATTATTTCTTTCTTATCGAATATGCAAACACACATAATAATTTTTTAAGCTTAAGACTATTTGTCTTAACTTTTGTGTATGATAAAGATTTGAGCATGAAAATCAATTGTAATCTATAAATGCATAACTAATAATAATAACAATAATAGTAGTAATTATATAAAGTAAGTAAAAAAATTCATTGTGCGAGAACTTTAAATCAGTTGGCATTAAATTCAATAAATCAATATAATGTTACATCAAGCAGATATATTTATCATTTATCATAAAATAAAATAAATAAAATAAAATAAAAATAAATAAAATAAAATAAAAATAAATAAAATAAAATAAAAATAAATTTACATTAAAAATAAAATCCATGAAGAAGAAGTCATGATATTTTTATCAAAGTCTTATTCTTCGACCAACCTTTCTTTGATTTTCAATCCACAACTGGACCCGTCTATTTTATACCATTATTTTAATAAAGTTTTATAATAAAAATATCACTCAACACCTTCATCTTGTACATAAACTTTAGCAATTGATAATAATAATCAAAATATATCACTGACGGCTTATGATACAATTTTAAAATTGATTCAAATATTTATTCGTATTATATATTTATATATATATGCAAGTTTCAAAATCAAGAGAGAAAGAAAAGAGGGAAATATGTTTTTTTTGGTTTGATAATCTAAGAGATGATAAATAAAGTTATTTTGAATAAATCTTAGAAAATATAATACACAGTATGAACATCCCTATCTTTGTAATTCAAATAGAAATAAAACAAGGTCATATAAAAATAAATTTTGATATAAAAATAAATGAAATGAATCCAACAATACGTTTCCACAATAGTTTCAAACCAAATATTACTAAAGAAGTTGAAAATATAATTAAACAATTAAATATAATTGTTTGCCGGGTCAGCTAGTGTATATATATGTAGAGCTTCGAACAAAGAATCCAAAAAGTAGTAAAAAACAAAAAAAAGATTTTTTAATAAACTATTTCTTTATTTATTTATTTACTGTCGACGTTTCGGAACTAGGTACGTTCCACCTTCAGGACATCTGTCAAGAAACATGATCTTGATAAGATTTAAGCAAACAATATGTTTAAGAAAAGCAGAAGATGATGGATTTTTTTATATAAAATGAATAAAATTGTGGAAAAAATGTTACAGAAGTATGACAATATAATATACTTTACGTATGACTTTATAATATCGACATTCATTCAAGATCAAGAATTTAAGTATATACATCCTATTATATAAAAACAACACACACAAACACACAGATTTTAAGCATTACAATTTAAAAGATCAATCCATAAATGTTGAACATTCAAACATTTATGAGATTTATTCTTCGTTTTATTTTTCAACTTTAAACTTTCATTTCAGGAGATAATTTGCAGGCTATTTGTCGAATTATAAAATAATAATATAGAAAAAATTATTTTTTATACGTTTCGACACTCGATGTGTGTCATCATTCAGCCAGGAAAAACAAAAAATATAAAACACATAAAAAAGAACATATATAATAGATAAACACATATAACATAAACATATATAATAGATAATTAAAACAAAAGCTAAAAAGGAGGAACTACTGCCCCGGCAGAAAAATGATAACAATAAGGCGGTCAAAAGAGAAATCTTATTTCTGCTGGTTTCAAAATGGGCTACGAATTAGTCAAATATGTCTTAAAAAATAACATGTTTATATAATCAAACTGAAAGGAAAATACATGAAATAAAAAAAAATGGGATAGGGAATAGTGGTAATGGGAGGAAGGATGAAGGAAATCTTTTGTTGTGGTGGCTCTCACACCATGAACCTGCCTTCGAGCAGACTACGATTTATTATTATTATTATAATCAAACTATTCACTCCATCTACATTTTTATAAGGGGGCGTTCATTAATCACGTGATCTATTTATTAAAGATTTTTAAACCACCACTTGGTGATACGTTGTGATTTTCAGAATTAACCCTTCTCCCCACCAAACATCATGTTTATTTTTAGTTACGTAAAATTTTCCGAACAATTTTTTCAAATTTACGGAAAAAACGTAAAATGTTTGTTTTTTTTGAAAATTTAGGTAAAAACTAAATTCACGCGATATCTTACTCCCTCCTCCACGTGAATTTTTGTGATTTTTTGTGATTTTTTGTCAACCCCCACCCCTACCTATAAGAGCTTCACGTGGTTAATGGACGACGCTTAAACAAAGGTGCATTGTTTAAATTGCATAAACCCCAAAGCTTATTCTTAGCTTCAAAACTCCCAATAATCTCATTTTTTCCTTAAAGGGCCGGAAAGCCGCCAACAGGGCTCCACCTGGACGTCTTGAAAGAGGAGACTCTCATACAAAAATTAATGTTGGACCAAAAAAAATGTTACTTATTCGGAAGAAATAGTCAATTAAACGATTTCTGCATAGACCATGCATCGTGCTCCAGAGTCCATGCCGCTTTTGTTTACCACAAACATTTAAACAGGCCATTTTTGGTCGATTTAGGAAGCAGTAAGTTTTGGTAAAAGATGGTAAAAGATTAGTTTTATATGGGTATGTAATTTTTTTTATTTAGCTCATGGGACTTTTATTGGTTCGATGCGGTTAGAAGCACATAAGCCCACACAGTTGCCTATTGATTCCACGTTCCATTTTGGAGCCTCTACTAGATATTATGTTTTAAGGTAAAGTAATAAGGATCGATAATTGTAACCTTTCCGTCGCCAATATCTAAGGACTGTTCTGAAAATGTTGTATGAAATCTTATTCAAATTTCAATTGAAAATATTCACAAAAAAGATAATTCATCACTTTGTTTAATTTAGGAGAAGTTTTGTTATGAGTTATTTTATTGTTTTGCAGAGAAAGACCTGTTGGCGTCTGTAAAGTCTTTTTTTTAAGTAAAGATTTAATCTGCTTGTTAGCAAAGTTTTTTTAAATAAAGATTTAGGTTTGCTCGTCAGTAGAGTCCTTTTCTTAAATTGAAATTAAGTTTTTCGTCAGTAGAATCCTTTCTTAAATAAATATTCAGTTTGCTCATTAGAAGAGTTTTTTAAGATATAGGTTTGCTTGTCAGTAGAGTCCTTTTTTATTAGTTTAGAATGTTATATGCAATCTTATTCAAAATTCAATTATAAACGTTCACAAAAAAGTCGATATTTGATCATTTTGTTTAATTTGGGTGTTTTGTTATTTATTGTTTTTATTTTTTTGCAGAGAAAGACCTGTTGGTGGTTCTAGGACAATTATGGAAGAAATTCCAAATAGTAGTGATGGACAAGGTGCCCTTTTAGGATTACCGGAAACACAGACAGAATTAGATGTAATTATATATTTTAAATTTATTTATACATTTTTATGTATATTCTATATAAGTGCGTTGGTCAGATAATTTTTTTTTGGTTTGTTAAAAATAAATACTGAATTCGGTCGTCAGTAGAGTCAGTACATTGTGGATATTATTATTTGAATGAAGTTTCAGTTTGTCATTAAAGACCTTTTTGTTAATTTTTAGGCTATAACACTGCCTTTTTATTTAAATGTAGTTTGCTAGTCAGTAGAGTCCTTTCTTGATCCTTTTCGTTGTGTCTATAGTTATTAGGGCGTTTTACTTTTAAATAAATTTAAATTTATTTATATAAATTTATATAAATTTAAATAAAAATTTATATTGTTGGTCAGTAGCCTTCTTTCTTAATATTAGATTTCTTTGTTGATTTTTTAGTTGCATTTTTTTCAATTCTGATTCGGTGTGTTTGTCAATAGAGTCCTTTATTTTTTTAGTCAGGAATTTGTTTTTTTAATTAAATAATAATTTTGCTCGTCAGTAGAGTCCTTTCTTGATTTTTTAAGCAGTGAATTATTTTTCAAAATAAATATTCATTTTGCTCGTCAGTAGAGTCCTTTCTTAATTTTTTGTCATTTATATTGATATTTCAGGCAGTAAATAATTTTTGTAACTAAATATTAATTTAGCTCGTCAGTAGAGCCCTTTCTTGATTTTTTAGTCAGTACAATATTTTTTTAAATGTATATTCAAGTTGCTCGTCAGTAGAGTCCTTTCTTTGTCAGTAAGTTGTTTTTTTTTTTTCATATAAATATTAATTTTGCTCGTCAGTAGAGTTCATTGTTTTTTTAATTAAAAATTTATTTTCTTCATCAGTAGAGTCCTCTATTGATATTTAAGGCAATTATTTAGGTTCAATTTGCTCGTCAGTAAGGTCCTTTCTGTTGTGTCCTTAGTTATTTTTTAAATCAAAGTGTTTTTTTAATCAAAATTTAATTTGCTAGTAAGTGTCGTTCTTTATAAATTTTACAATTTTTTGTTGATAATTTAACTAAAGGTTTTATTTCTTTTTTTAACTTCCCGAAGGAGAAGTTTATGTTTTCATCAAAAAACCCGATTCGCTAATTTTATGTTTTCTCGACGTTTCAAGCCATTCTGAATCGAATGAGACCAAATTTGGAAAAAGTATGTGTGTGTGTGTGTGTGTGTGTGTGTGTGTGTGTGAACAGATTTTTTGCCGTAAATCGACGTTTTCTCGAAAACGGCTGGACCGATTTCAAAAATTTAAAAGCCATTCTATGCATCTCGATGAGAACTATTGTTTGTCAGTTTTGTGCGACGATCGGCCAAGCCGTTTTTTCATAAATGGCAGAAAAGTGAAAAATTTTTCGTCTACGTTTTAGCCCGCAATTCTGAATCGATTTTGAAAATTCAAAAACCATTCGATAGATATTGGCTGGGAATCGTGCTGATTAGTTTTTGGTAGAGATCGGCCGGGCCGTTTTCTTGTAATAAAGTTTTAAAAAAAAAAAATTCGACGATTTTTATGATTATTTTTTTGACGATAGATACCATAGTCTTCTAGATCATACTAAAATATTACGGCCCTACGACAACTGGTTCAGCTTTAAAAATTCGTCAAAGTTTGCAAAAATCAGTATGGTCTTTTTGGCATTTGTCAAAATTAGACTTTTGATCGACGTTTTCTCAAAAACGCCTGAACCGATTTCAGATATTTAAAAGCCATTTGATGTATTTCGGTGAGGACTATCGTTTGTCAGTTTTGTGCAACGATCTGCCAAGCCGTTTCTTTGTAATTTGAAAAAAACTTTTCATCCACATTTAAGCTCATCCTACCGAACGATTTTAAAAAATCAAAAACTGTTTGAAAGATATTAGTTGGGAATGGTACTGATTAATTTTAGGTGAAAATCTACCGAGCCGTTTTCTTGTAATTAACTGTTGAAAAAAAATTTAAGCCGATTTTCATGGAATTTTTTTCGGCGATATACATCATGGTCTTATAGAACTTACTGTAATATTACGGCCTAACGACAAGTAGTTTAATTTTAAAAATTCGTCAAAGTTTGCTAAAATTATTATCGTTTTTTTTTAAAGTAGGATTAATGAAGTATATTATTTACACATTTTTTTTTGATTAAGTCGATTATTTACACATTTCGGGAAGTTCATGTAACTTGCCTCAAGGCTAAATACCAAACCAACTAGTTTAAATTCTGTTTCAGTACGTTTGTCAGCTGAGTCCTTTCTTGATTTTTGAGTCACTTAATATTTTTATAAATTAAAAATTGATTTTGTCCGTTAGTAGAGTTCTTTCTTGATTTTTTAGCCAGAAAATTGTATTTTAATTAAAAATTAATTTTGCTCGTCCCTTTCGTTAGAGTCATTTCTTCATTTTTAGTCAGTAGATTATTTTTTTAAATCTATATTCATTTTGCTCGTCAGTCGAGTCCTTTCTTAATTCTTTTGTCAGTAAATAGTTTTTTAGATTCAGATTCAATTTACTCGTCAGTAGAGTCCTTTCTTGTCCATATATATAATCTCAATCAATGTCTTTTACAGAATTTAACAGAATTCAACACAGCCCACAATAGGAGAATATCCATGTTGGGCATTTCCACAGAAGATGGAAACGAAATAAGGCCCGGTGTACAGGTAAAAAAAAGTTAACTAGACCACAAATAATCTTTACAAATTATACTATAATTTTTCTATTATCTTTACAACTTATACTATTATTTGCATTTAGGCCAATCGCAAAAGAAAACGTAGAGCTGTCCATTTCAACGAAGACAACGACATAATAAATCCTGAAGACGTCGACCCATCGGTTGGTAGATTCAGAAATTTAATCCAAACAACTGTTATACCGAGTGCAAGCAAAAAGGCCAGGAACCAACTCATAGGTAGATATAAAAAATATTTATCTAAATGCATATACATTAGGGTGGTCCTTAATATGGACATTTTCTACTTTCGTTGCTCCCAAGGGCTCAAATGGTTCGAAGTTGATAAAAAACAATTCTCTGAAAGTTTTAGCTCTTAATTAACTTCCCGTAGGGTAGTTATAGTAATGGGCCGAAAATCGAAAATGAAAATTTTTGCATTTCTCGACGTTTTCAAGGTTTCTGAACATTTTTAAGGGGCATACCCAGAAAAAATTGATGTGTGTGTGTGTTTTGTATGTCCGCATTTTTAGTCCACGTTTTCGAGCGCACGGATCAACCGATTTGAATGGTTTAAAAAACATTCGATTCCTATTGATAGAGAGATGTGCTGATTAGTTTTTGGCAAAGGCAGGTCCAGCCGTTACGGAGATATGGAGCAAAAAGTGCAGAAAATAAAAATCGAGTTTTTGAGAGAACGGATCATCCTATTTGTATGATCCAAAAACATTCAATTCGTAATGACGGGGAAAAGTGGTTATTAGTTTTTGGCAAAGGTAGGTCCAGCGGTTTCGGAGATACAGAGCTAAATGTTAAAAAATGGCAGTTTTTCAGAGAACTAAGTGTCCGATTTAAATGATTCAAAGAACTTTCTACTTTTATCAACAAAGTAAACTCTTTTGGAAAAAAATGGTTGTTTCTAATTTTTTTTTCAAAAAATATTTTTGTAATTTTGGATTAAAAATTCAAAAAATTACCCAGGCTAAGCACAGTCTAAGCGCCACTCTGGTGCAAATATTTACCCAAGTGCGTTTAGACAGTTTATGTACTGGAGCACTTTTCCAATTTTGGGAAAACTATTGAAAAATGTGAAAATGCCGCTATGCCACAGTATAAGTGAAAATGTCGCACAGAATTATTTGCAAATGCGTTTAGACTGTGACTATACGGGAGCACTTTTGTGCAAATTAGGCAACTATTTTTTATTTGAAATTGAATTCGAAATAAAATGACGATTGTTAATGTTCTGGAGATAAATTGATTTATGATTTAAATTTGATTTGCTCAGATATAGCAAGATAGCAAAGATAATGAAATAATATAATAACAGTATTTGTAATAATATATTTGAAAACGTTTAATATTTCTCGAATATTTCATCACGGTACGGGAAGTTCCAGCAATTTGTCTTAAGGCACGATGCCATACACCACTAGTATTAACTTTTAGATAGTGCGCAATTCAATCAAGATTTTGTATGGAAATAGCATGAACAAATGTTCAAAAATTTAGCAGAGCGTCGAATTTTTCAAAAAAAAAAATTACACGAATTTTCACTTTTAATTCATTTGTCGCTAAGTTATACCTAAAAATTTTTTTTAAATTTTCAAAATTTTTTTCATGCTATTTCCATACAAAACTTTGATTGAATTGCGCTCTATCTAAACGTTAATATTAAGAGCTAAAACTTTCAGAGAATTGTTTTTTATCAATTTAAAACCATTTGAGCCTTTGGGAGCAAGGAAATTCGAAAAATGACCATATTAAGGACCACCCTAATATGCATACATAAACACTTTTTTTTTTTTCCTCAGGGATTCAACACACGTCCTCCTCTCAACATGCTTCACAACTACACGACCTCCAAAAGCATCTGCACCCTTCGGCAATAATGCCACATTTGTACCAGGATTTACCACCAGAATTGAACACTGGTGTTAGTAATGCTAACAGTGGTCAAAATGCTGCTGCAGTGCAGAATTTCCCTACGACTTCTGCAGCAATGAATAAACTTGGCATGATGTTGCCTAATCCTGCACCAGATGTCGAACCGAATATGGAACCCATGGAGATCTGCACTAAACACCCAGGTAAGGGTAAGGGTAAAGGATATATGTATATATATATATATATATATATATATATATATATATATATATATATATATACATAGTAGCTGACCCGGCAAGCGTTGTTTTGCTAAGTAAGATATATTCTAAACAATTTCAAGAGAATCAAAAATATTAAAACTGTAAGTGTATAAGGATGTGTTGTTTCAATGCTATATACAATGAGGTATTATAAAAACAATAAACCCCATTAGTTTGTCTATAATTTGTCAATACAATCAAACTGAAAGTTGTATACACTTTCTATAGAAAACATGGTATAGTCCAATCCAAGTCTTTTTTGGTCTTTCGACTTATTGATTACGTTCCAAGTTTTTCAGATTCTTTTTGGATTCTGGATTTTGTGTATAATTGTAAATAATACTACTGAGCTTATACAAAATTTTCAAATTTCTGCGAGGAGAGACAGAAAATGAATTAAGTATTTCTTCTTTGACCTGCTTTTTGAAAAGTTTCAAGTAACATTCAATGAATTGAAGTAAATTTAATAAAAATTATATATGTAAAGCAGGGCGAGGCACAAAGGTCCAATTTGACTTTGAGCAAATATTAATCATATTATAAAAATCAAACTAGTTATATCACAATAAATAACACAATTCAAACGAACAATTATCTGACTACGTTCAGTAAACCTGTCAGCTACTTCATCATTGTAGAGATGTGCTTTTTTGCTGTCTTTCAAAAATTTGTTATCTACACCTTTTTACCCCATAGACTTGGTAACTTGGAATGGCCAGGTGGCAAACATATTTAATGTCTTATTTTAATTTTAAAGGTATTTTACAAAATAATTACATTTTAACTAATGCTAAAAAACTACCGATGGAAAAAAATACTTTTATTATCGATTTTCAAAGATTACCTCCCGATAGCAAAGTCAGAAGATTCAAGTTTATAGCTGGTTATACATCTTTTTCCCTCTACTTTCAAATATTGTTGTTAAACAATGCTTAACTTTACTGGTTTTTGACACGTCGGTGATGGACCTTTTTCACACCCCGGACCTTCATATATTACTATCTATTCTTCGATAAATTCTGGGAAATTATAACTGGGAAAATGTTACTCGACAAAATGTCCCTTTGATCGATACCAAATTTAGGTTTTGAATAAATAAAAAATAATATAACCTAGAAAATGTTTTTTAAATACCAGTGAGTATATAATTATACAAATGAGATCTTTCTGAGCACCGTGTTTGAGAAAAATATAATTTGCAAAAAAAGAGTGCTACAACGCCAAAAAATACATTTTCATATTAACATTTCAAAAAAGTAGATATTGTTGAGTTCATAGTAACACTTGCGGCCCTATTACATGAATTTACTTAATTGCACATTTATAGCAATTTTTGTAAGAAACATATGTGATTTTATATTTTTATAATTTAGTATACATATTAAGAAATAGCATACTAAAATTTTGTAACTCTAGTATAACGTTTCATATTTTTAAATATTTTTCAAAATACGCATCAAACCGTGGACTTGCAATTATTGGAAACTAGATATGCAAGAGTGCATTTGTTTTTTTGATAGAATTATATGTGATTTTATATTTTTATAATTAAGTACATATATTAGGTAATAACATACTAAAATTTTATAGCTCTAGTATAATATTGTATATTTTTAAAACATTTTTCAAAAGTACTTCTCAAGTCATATCCAACCGTCGATTCGCAACTAATAAAAATAGAGTATGCAAGTGTGCATTGCAATTTTTTAGTTTCTTCTGTTAGAAACATATGTATTTGATTTTATATTTTTATAATTCAGTACACATATTAAGAAATAGCATACTATAATTTTATAACTGTATTACGACGATTTATATTTTTAAAATATATTTTAAGCCGTCAATTTGTTTACGTCAAAACGTTTACTAACGTTTTTGTGTATAAATAAAACTACAAACAAAACTACTTACTACAATTTATTCATAATTAAATAATATTCACGTAAAACATCCTATTAAACGTAATTGAACATCATCTGTCAAAAACGTTTGACATTTGACGTATTAGCCACCGTCCATTGTTTTATTTAAATTACGCTTAAACAAAAATTTTCAAATTAAAAATGTAAAGTTTCTACGCAATTTTGAAATAATATCTCACCTTTCAGACAACCTACTGATTAGCACGAATTTTTCAAGACTAAGGTTGGCCAAATCGGTTTAGCCGTTTTCGAGTTTTACAGAATCATTTTATCGAGAGCTCCATTTTTATATATATAAGAATATATATCGTAAGAATAAATGTATTATTATTATTTTGTTATTCTAGGTATGGGTGCCGGTCTAGTTGGTTCCACCAGTCTAGGTAACCAAATGTTAGGAGAGTTGGTGTCTTCAGTAGAAGGCGGTGATACGTTGGAACCAAAGAAAAAGAAATATGCAAAGGAAGCCTGGCCAGGCAGAAAACCATTGCTAACGAGCAGTATCTGATCAAGATTACTCAATATTTTTCGCTTATTTAAATATACTTATATTTCCAGAAATTGTAAAAAAACTATATTTGTGTTTATTTAAGATAGCAAAGGAATTATCTTGTATGTCAAATGAAATATAGATTCGATATTTTAATAGTAAGTTATGTTTCTGACTTTTGTAAAGATTTAAAATAAAAGTAGAAAAAAAATTATATTTTTTGTCTAACCGATCTAATTCATCCAACATTGACCCTCAAAAATACTGGTCCTACTCTAAGGTCAACTGCTCAGACTCATCATCATTTTTTCATATTATTAATAAAAAAATGTTATTTAAATAATGACGTACAAGAGTTTAATAAAAGCGCTGGCGATCGAATTTGTAAAATATATAAAAGAAACTAGTGGTGTATGGCATCGTGCCTTAAGGCAAATTGCAGGAACTTCCCGTACCGTAACGAATTGTTCGAGGAATATTGAATGTTTTCAAATAGATTATTATAAATAAATATTGTAACATTGTCTAATATTTATAAGAATCATATAAACTGAATTGCAAAGTTAAAATTATTTATTTAAAGTATATAAGTGAGCTTTAGAACTTCAGCAAGGATTAAAATTGATTTTTTTCCCAAAAGCAATTATTTTGTCAACACAAGCAGAAAGTTTTTTGAATCATTCAAATCGGATGCTTAATTCTCTCAAAAACTGCCATTTTGTACATTTAGCTCCGTATCTTCGAAATGACTGGACCTGCCTTTGTCAAAAACTAATCACCACATTTAGATCATTCAAATCCGGTACTCCGTTCTCTCAAAAACTCGATTTGTATTTTCTGCACTCTTTGCTCCGTATCTCCGTAACGGCTGGACCTGCCTTTGCTAAAAACTAATCAGCACATCTCCCTATCAATACGAATCGAATGTTTTTTTAATCATCCAAATCGGTTAATCCGTGCGCCCGAAAACGTGGACGAAAAAAATGCAGACATACAAAATACACACACATCAATTTTTTATGATAAGGAGTTCTATGAGGTATGTCAAAATGTTCAGAAACCCCTGAAAAGTGAAGAAATGCAAAAATTTCCATTTAAAGTCCTTTCTTGATTGATTTAGATTCATTTTGCTCATCAGTATAAAGTCCTCCCTTGTTTTTTTATTTTTCATATGTGTATATTATTTTAATAATTTGTTTTGTTAATAAAAATATGCAACATTTGTTACAATTTAAATAAAAAAGATCATGGAAAGACTACAATTGTTTATATCAAACAGACGGAACGACAACTACAGAAATTTGTTTTCCAAAAAATGTAATATCAAAAAACGAATTTTAAAAGATAAATTGAGAAAAATATACAGATAAAATGAAAAAAGTAATTTTTCGGTATGAATATTTAACATTGATATAGAATTGTTACATAGAAAATTTAAATTTAGGTAAATTTATTGATGATTGAAGGTTTCATATGATAGTTTAAAAAATATAATAAAGCAAATTGATTTTTTTCCACTAGCGGTCGAACTATTTACTATAATTTTTTCAAAGTCCAAACGTGTTTTCAACGTACAATTTTTTTGATAAAATCATATATCGTTTTATTTTGATTTTGTAGTTCTTAGTCATTAGTATAGTATATAACATTGTGCTTAAATAATAACAATTATAAATTTAGCGTTAAAATGAATTTTTCGTTAATTTATTTATTATTTATATGTATAATTAATTTTAATAAATTATGTGAATGCTACGAATCTTTTCAACTAATTGGAATGTTGGGATTTGAATTTACGGTTGTCGTAGGTATGAAATTATAAATAATAATTATAATTATATAGGCATATAAGAAAGGACTCTACTGACGAGCGACCTAAATGTTTATTAAGAAAACGCTTATTAACTAAAAACATAAAAGAAAGGACTCTACTGACAAGCAACTGTATCTTTAATTAAAAAAAAACACTTTACTAAATAAAATATTATTAATACGGACTCTACAAACTAACACACCGAATCAAAATTAAAAAAAAAACTAAAAAATCAATAAAAGGGCAATGAAATTAAAAAAGGACTCTACTGACAACAAAGTGTAATGACTACAAAAAACTTTTATATTTTAGCTAATAGAGCGCTTTTTTAATAAAAATTTAATTTGCTCGTCAGTAGAGTTCTGTTGTAATTTCATAGTTCTTTGTTGATTTTTTAGTCTTTAGAGGGTATCCATGAATCACGTGATCGATTTTTTAAGGAATTTTGGACACCCCCTTCCCTCACCAAACATTTACGTGTATTTTTAGTTACGAAAAATAGTGTAAACTTTTTTTTCTTTTTGAAAATGTTTTCTAAACCTTTTTTTAAATATTCAGGTAAAAAATAAATACACTTGATATTTTGCTATACCCCTATACACGATATTTCGTAATTTTCTGTCAAAATCAAACTACTTGTCCTAAGGCCGTAATATTTCAGTAAATTCCATAAGACCATGATATATATCGCCAAAAAAAGTTCCATAAAAATCAGCTTCATTTTTTTTCAACAGTTAATTACAAGAAAACGGCTCGGTAGATTTTCACCTAAAACTAATAGTACCATTCCCAACTAATATCTTTCGAACAGTTTTTGATTTTTTAATATCGATCCGGTAGTATGAGCTTAAATGTGGACGAAAAATTTAACACCTTTTTCCAAATTACAAAGAAAAGGCTCGGCCGATCGTCATACAAAACTGAGAAACGATAATCCTCATCGAGATACATCAAATGGCTTTTAAATTTCTGAAATAGGTTATAAAACTGACAAACGATAGTCCTCATCGAGATACATCGAATGGCTTTTAAATTTTTGAAATCGGTCCAGCCGTTTGAGAAAAAATGTCGATTTACTGTAAAAAATCTGTTTACACACACATACACACATACACACACAGACACATGCTTTTTCCAAATTTGATCTCATTCGATTCAGAATGGCTTGGAACGTCAAGAAAACATAAAATTAGCGAATCGGATTTTTTGATGAAAACATAAACTTCTCCTCCGGGATGTTAATAAAATACGCTTTGCTAACTCGAATATCAACAAAAGTAACTCTACTAACGAGCTAACTGAAATTAAATATAGGCCCACAAACTCAATTATATATTATTTAATTTTGTACAAACTCACTAAAGACCTTATAAAATGTGTCAAATATATAAATTTGTTTGCCCTTTTCCTCCCAGATCACGATGTCTACCACAAAGTGACCCTAAAGGCCTGCATCAACAAACCTTGTGCCGAAGACGAAGAAGACCTAGAAATGGTCTACACAATCCACAATTATTGGACTGTATTCGATTATCGAAATCAATTAAAAGCCGGAGACATCATCAATTACGAATATACTGGTCACAAATGGACAGAAATCGGATTTAAATCAGGATGGAAAGAGTGGTACATCACCGAAGGTAAGGGGTAAAAATACAAAAAATAGGAAAATACCAAAAAACTTTGGAATCGTAACCGTAAAAATATAAACAAAATTGCCCCATTTTTTATAGAGCTAAGACTATATATCAAACTGTGAATTTATTAACTTTCCGTAGGATAAGTTATAGTATGATCAGTTTATTAGATCTCACAATATGTATAAAGTTTTAGATCGATTTTGATGAATGAAAATTGATTTTCCAACACTACTATATTAGACCAAATTTAAGATAAAGTAATTATCAAAAAATCCTTCTAATATATTGCATATGTTACATTTATATTTACATTTACATATTATTTTCATTTTTTTTTTTATTGAAGTAGAAGAAATCATTTAAAAAAATCATTCTGCAGGTTCTATTATACTCGTATATACCTATATGTTTGTGAAATGTGTTTTTATAATATTTTAAAATATGTTTTCTGTTTATTTATAATGTAAAAAATTGTAATGTAAATTTGGTTTTTAAATATTCTGGTATAATAGTCGAGGCAATGAAAGTTTTTCGCAGTAAGTCTTGAAAAACAGCTCCGATTTTGTTCATTTAGTAAAAAAATCGTTTTTTAATATAATTCAAAATGAACATTTTAGAAATGGAAAACCGTTGACTTTTGAAGAGATGAAGAGTTTAGAAAAGTTTAAGAAAAAGTGATTTTCGAATTTTTACAAATATTAATATATGTATAAAAGAATGATGAAAAAATATTAGAAAAATACCTACATTATATAAGTTTACTAGATAACTATCTATAATTTTAAAAATATATAAGTGCAACCACATACTTGTAGATGCCTTTGCTCACTGCTTGCCTTCGCTGACAACGTTGTCCAAACAACAGAGGATTTGCAAAGGAAAGTTGATTTTTGAAGATAATTTCACTATGCCTGAGTTGGATTTGACCAAATGGCAACACGATTGTTATATTCCTAGCCAAGCAATGGTAAAACAATAAATATTTATTCAATAACACCTTAAAAGACTTTATAATTTATTACTTTTTTACAGGATAACGAATTTGTGTCCTACCAAGGTTTGCCTAAAAATATCTATATCGAAAAAGACATCCTGGTCGTCAAACCGACGCTGATTGAGGACAAAAATTATATTGAAAATGGCGTGCTGGATTTAGAAGAAATGTAAATATCGTATTAATAATATTCAGCACTCAATACGAAAGCAAGTTCAAAAAAATCGTTTTCTTTTATTTCATATTTTCAAAGTTTAACTATCTAAGAATATGGGTACGAGAAGGTTTTTGAAAATTTGAATTATTTTCGGAGATATAGGCATTTTACTGACTCGGTCTCCATACTGCTTTGTCTTCACGCAAAACTTTAACTGCGTTTTTCTCAGAACAGACATTTTCAGTACTGTTGACACGATATCTCGAGTTTTAATCGACCGATTCACTTGAAATGTTCAGAGAGTCTTGCTTATAGACCTATCTATAGCCCGAACTAGGATTATCCCCAAATTCCAATTTTTACTATTTTTAAAATATTCGAGAAACTCAAAAAAACAGTAAAAAAACACTTTTTTTCAAACAGTCGTCAATTTGTAAAAAAATATTTTTTTTAATCATTGCTAGTTTGGGCGATTGCGGCATCATTGTGGATTAATAATCATTTTTAATTAATTTTTTGCATTTTCGATGGCTAGGAGGGCTGAAATCATGTCAAGACTGAGGTGCCAATTTTTTGAGACCACCCACTTCATCAGCTGCCATTTTTTTTAATTTTCAACTTTTTTTTTCTAATTTTTGTTCTATATTTTAATAATATTATTAACCAAGTGGTAAAAAATGGATAGTAAAAACATTCATTGCTTTCTTTTACGACACTTTAAAATTGACCTGAAATTCATCGCTCTACACTAGAATACCCCCTTGAATCATTAACAAAAAAACAACTCCTTCTTTATTAAAACACCTGTCTGCTCTTTTATCTATCAATGTCAATGAATATTCAACACTCATTACAAGTAATATTTTTTTGTAGATGCAACTGCAAACCAACTTATTACGGAGAATGTAATAAAAAAGCAATTTCCTACAACATCCTTCCACCAGTAATGTCTGCTAGTATAAGATCCAAGTTCAGTTTCAAATATGGAAAAATCCAAATCCACGCAAAATTACCTAAAGGAAACTGGCTGTACCCTAGTAAGTAGAATAGATAGATAGATAAATAGATTCTCTTATCTACCTCTATTTTTATGGAACTTTTTATTACATAATTGAACACGAACGAACACGTTAACTCAGAGTATTTTCAAAGAGCAAATTTTCAAAAATCAACAATTTTTGTAATTGAACCAGTTTCCGTAGGACTTTAACCCTTCTTTGCATGATTTTTTCTATTTTAATAAAATAAATCAGGGTGATGTAATAAATGCTCTAGATTGAAGGAAAAATATTTAAAAAAATCCTAAAATAAATAGAAGTATGTATTATGTAAAAAACAATATGATGGAAATTTACATCATCGTGCATTGCCACATGATGAACTAGCTCAGAACTATATATAAAATATATTGTTTACTCAATCTTCTTTACTCTTTATAATAATTTAAAAAACAATCATTATTTTTATTTAAGCACTAATTGATACCACATTTACTGAATTTGGCCCATTGTAAGCAGAGTTTTTTTACGTTCACCTCTTTCTTGAGCATTTTTTATAAACATTCCAAGAGTTTATAATAGCTCGATCAAATAGATAAAAAAATATGCAATTGCAACTTTTTAGACCTCTTTGTTATATGATTTCTGCCCAAAAAGCTATCCATGAGATTTACCTCTCCCATATGTTTATTGTTCGAACTTTGGCGACCAGTATGATCTTGTGGTAGGAATTTTGATTACTGATATGTAGAATAATATACCAAAGAACTTATACAAATCATAATCTGTTTCTTCAAAAAACAACACAAAAAACATTTACAAAAAAATCTTTGCTATACATTATAAGTGGAACTACTGCATTGTGATGTAAATGTCCATCATATAGTTTTGAGAACTTGATTCACAGTGTTTTGATATTAATTGTATATAAAATAACAAAAACATGGAAACAAACCCCTTTCTTACTCATTTTCACTTTTAGTGTATTTTATATCTTCGTTTACTTCCTTCCTTATAACAAACTAAGAACTCGCTCCTTTTTTCCAGTCACAACAAACAGCGAAATGACAAGTTCTAGTCTAGTCCTGGTAATCAACAGTGACGTTTGCTATTTTTTTAAAAATTGCATTTTGTTGTACGCAATAGTCGCTTAAAATGTTGCCAGCAACAACAAATTTACAGTACAAGGGTTTTTAGTACTTTTTTTGTCGACTAAATATTATGATTGAAATTTCCATCGCCATGCAAAGAAGGGTTAATGTTTTAGTATGTTCATTAAGACCAAGTACTCTATCGTTATACCAAGTAAATCGTGTAATTTTAATTTTAACAGACGTAAAAAAAACTACTCATTTTCTCAAACTTTGATGAATTTTTAAAATAAAACTACTTGTCGTAAGACCGTAATATTTCATCAGTAAGTTCTATAAGATCTTTATTTTAGTTCTGCAACTGGAACCAAAAGACTACAACCACGGTCCAGGATATGCATCAGGAGCCATCAGGATCGCTTTTGCAAGAGGTAACAATATCTTAGTTTCACGACAATCAGGATATGACTACGGTAACAAGGAATTGAGTTGCGGTTTAATATTCAAGGATATTCATCCTATCAGGAATATAACAGCCAGGAGGTATCAGAGAACACAGAGCAAACCGTGGAGTGAATATTTTGAGACTTACGAAGTCGAATGGGCACCAAGTAAAAAAATAATATATATTTGTTGTTATGTAGTATTTGGGTTGAATAATTATTGTTGGTTTTAGGTCATATGTTGTTCAGCATTGGTAATAGACGATACGGTTTGATTTTACCTCCAAGTCGAAATTTTCAGGACGAAACGGAGCGTGATGTGACTTATGGAGAAAGTTGGGAGAAGTTCATGCCTATATTTGATGAACAGGTAAGTTGCTAACAAAAAATAGATATTGGATTTTTTAACTTCCCATAGGATAGTTATAGTAATGGGCCGAAAATCGATAATGTAAATTTTTGCATTTCTCGACGTTTTGAAGGTTTCTCAACATTTTTAAGGCATACCTCAGAAAAAAAGGATGTGTGTGTGTGTGTGTATGTATGGATGGATGCAAATTTCCAGTCACGTTTTCGGTCGCACGGATCAACCGATTTGAATGGTTCAAAGAACTTTCGATTCCTATTAATAGGGAGATGTGCTGATTAGTTTTTGGCAAAATCCAGTCGTTTAGGAGATACGGAGCAAAGAGTGCAGAAAATAGAAATCGAGTTTTTGAGAGAACGGAGTATCGGATTTGAATGATCTAAAAAACATTTAATTTGTTTGTTAATGATTGGGAGAAGAGGTGATTAGTTTTTTCGTAGCCATTTCGAAGATACAGAGCTAAATGTGCAAAAAATGGCAGTTTTTGAGTGAACTCTAAGCGTCCGATTTGAATGATCTAAAAAACTTTCTGCTTGTATTGACAAAACAAATGCTTTTAAGGATAAAAAAGTATTACATCTTTTTTTTATTTTCCATAAAATATTTTTGTAATTTTGGATTAAAAATTCAAAAAATTACCCAGGCTAAGCACAGTCTAAGCGCCACTCTGGTAAAAATGTTTACCCAAATGCGTACAGACTGTTTATGTATAGGACTTTTCCAATTTTGTGAAAACTATTGAAAAATGTAAAAATGCCGCCAAGCTAAGCACAGTATAAGTGAAAATGTCGCACAGAATTATTTGCAAATGCGTTTAGACTGTGACTATACGGGAGCTTGTTCAATTTTGTGCAAATTAGGCAACTATTTTTTTTAAATTGTATTGGAAATGAAATGACGATTGTTAATGTTCTGGAGATAAATTGATTTATGATTTATGATTTACATTTGGTTTGCTCAGATATAACAATAAGATAGCAAAAATAATGAAAGTTACAGTAATTGTAATAATATATTTGAAAACGTTTAAAATTTCTCGAATATTTCATTACGGTACGGGAAGTACCAGCAATTTGCCTTAAGGCACGATGCCATACACCACTAGTTATTTATTAATGACACTATGGTTTATTTTTATCTCTAGATGGTGATCCGTATTGGTGTTGGTGCAGGTGGAATGACAGATTTTCCGGACAATACTCTTTCGAGTAGTTTTTCTGATCTTTTGTCTCCAAAACCATGGAGGAACTTGGAACCCAAAGCAATGTTAGGGTAAGAACTAAATAATAATAATAATCTGAATATGTAAATTAGTTCTGTAATGGATTGATTTTTTTTCAGTTTTTGGCAAGATCGAGAGAACTGGAAGAAAACTTGGACGGATAGTAAATTGGAAATAAGAAGTGTTAAAGTTTGGGCACTTTAAAACAACAAAAATATATACGATTATAACGTAGTTTTGGTTATAAAAATATTGGTTTGTAATTGTAAATAATAATCATTATATGATTATAATAAAAATCATTTTTATTTGGAATATTATGCCATCAAAGTTATTGATTTCTTGAAGAAGTTTGTGAATTCAATTTGCTAATTTAATGTTTTCTCGACATTTCAAGCGATTCTGACACAAAAATTGGAAAACGTGGGTCAAAATTTGATTTTTTTGACGAAGTTTTCTCAAGAACGGCTGGACCGATTTCAAAAATTTAAAAGCCATTCTATGAAACTCGATGAGTCTTGGCTTTGATCAGAAGAAAAGTTAGTTAAAAGTTAGAATTACCTTTGTAAATAAAAGAAAAGTGCACAATTTTTCATGAAAATTCAAAAACTATTCGAAATATATCATTGAAGAATCGTGCTAATTTTTTGGCAAAGATCGGTCGGGTCGTTTCTTCGTAATAGATTATTAAAAAAATATATATTGGGCGATTTTAATGAAACGTTATACTTATAAATTACTTATAAATTAATTTAAATATATATAAATATATTAGGTTGTCAAATATCTCCCTTCCGCTTTTTTGCTCTTGGTTTATAATACAAAAAGGGAGATATTTGACAACCTTATATTAATTAGGTCGATTATTTGCACATGCCACCTACACGTAGTTTAAAAACGTCTTAACCTTCACCTCCATTAAATGATACATTAGTCACAATTCATTCAAATATTAACTTTGAATCATTTATTTAAACGCAAGCTGTTTAAATAAACAATGTACAAATATAAATTCATTATTTGCTTTTTTCAAATTTAGTACTCTTTTTTCATATCCCAACACGCTGCTAACTTCACATCGTCAGCATTTTGTTCATCAACTGTCAACTGCTTTTAACGCAATCGTGAATATTTGATCGCAGTAGTTGGCCGAATGCGATTGGTCCGTTCCCCTAGCGTGGTGCGTTGTGATTGGCCAAAAGGCATAACGTGTCCTCTATGTTTTTCGTACATAATTTGGCATTCTAGAACTTGTTCCGTCATTTATGTTTGTGCGGTTATGGAGCAAAAATAATATAAGGTATACGTACAAAGTGTTATAAAGTGGTATAAGTGTTAATAGTACTTAGATTTATATTTCTCTTATCACGCAATGAAGTATAAATTGTTAATTTTAATATGCGCCTTTGTGCTTTCGGCCGGCTTTGTAAAAGCCGAAGACGAAATTGTAAAAGAATCCCTGGATAAAGTTGATTTGGATATGGGGGCGTTTGCTGAAGGTTCCAGGACTGATTCGGAGGCTATAAAACGCGAAGAAGAGGCTATTAAATTAGATGGTTTAAACGTTGCGCAAATGAAGGAACTTCGTGAAAAATCCGAGAAATTCCAATTCCAAGCCGAGGTAAATCGTATGATGAAACTTATCATTAACTCTTTGTACCGTAATAAAGAAATTTTCCTGCGTGAGTTGATCTCAAACGCCTCAGACGCCCTAGACAAAATCCGTCTACTATCGTTGACCGATAAGTCAGTTCTGGATTCAACCTCAGACTTAGTAATAAAGATCAAAGCCGACAAAGAGAACAAGGTGCTCCATATAATAGACACAGGTATAGGTATGACCAAGAACGATTTGGTAAACAACTTGGGTACGATAGCCAAATCCGGCACTGCAGACTTTTTATCAAAGATGCAAGAAGGTGCAGCCGAAGGCCAGGATATGAACGACATGATAGGACAGTTTGGTGTAGGTTTTTACTCAGCTTTCTTAGTCGCTGATAAAGTGGTTGTCACCACCAAGCATAATGATGACAAGCAATATGTATGGGAGAGTGACGCTTCCAGTTTCAGCATCGCTGAAGACCCACGGGGCAACACTTTGCAACGAGGCTCCCAAATAAGTCTGTACTTGAAAGAAGAGGCTCAAGACTTCCTGGAACAAGACACTGTTAAGACACTTATCAAAAAATACTCGCAATTTATAAACTTTCCTATTTATTTGTGGAACAGCAAGACTGTGGAAGTAGAAGAGCCTGTTGAGGAGCAAGAGGAAGTCACTGAGAAACCTGAGACTGAGGATGAAGATGCTAAAGTTGAAGAGGATGCTGAGGATAAACCTAAGACGAAAAAGGTGGAGAAGGTTATTTGGGACTGGGAGGTTATGAATGAGAGCAAACCTATTTGGACTAGAAAACCTAATGAAGTTACTGAGGAAGAGTATAATGAGTTCTACAAAAGTCTTACAAAAGATAATACGGAACCTTTAGCAAGCATACATTTTGTCGCCGAAGGCGAGGTTACCTTTAAATCTGTTATCTACATACCAAAAGTACTACCTTCAGAAAGTTTTAGCAGATACGGCACAAAAGCTGATAACATCAAACTTTATGTACGCAGAGTGTTTATTACTGATGAATTCAACGACATGATGCCTAATTATTTGAACTTCATCCGTGGTGTTGTAGATTCTGATGATTTGCCCCTCAATGTATCACGTGAAACTTTGCAACAGCACAAATTGATCAAAGTTATTAAGAAGAAGTTGGTACGCAAAGCTTTGGACATGATTAAAAAGATTGATGAGAAGGATTATGAGAAGTTCTGGAAAGAGTACTCAACGAATATCAAATTAGGGATTACTGAAGATGCTAGCAATCGTTCCCGTATGGCTAAGTTGTTGCGTTTCCACAGTTCCAATGATAAAAAGAAAATCACGTCTTTGGAGGAGTATGTTAAACGTATGAAGCCTAAACAGGATCAAATTTACTACATCGCTGGTGCCAACCGTGATGAAGTAGAAAAATCACCGTTTGTGGAACGTTTACTTGCCAGAGGCTACGAGGTTTTGTATTTAATTGAAGCCGTGGACGAGTACGCTATTTCAGCGTTACCCGAATTTGATGGCAAGAAGTTCCAAAATGTCGCCAAGGAAGGTTTTTCACTCTCCGAATCCGAAGGCCAAAAAGCCAACTTTGAAAAACTTAAAGAAGACTTCGAGCCTTTGACCAAATGGTTCAACGACGTAGCCCTAAAAGACAAAATCTCCAAAGCCTTATTATCTGAAAGACTCAGCCAATCCCCCTGTGCACTCGTAGCCAGTATGTTTGGTTGGACCGGCAACATGGAACGTCTTGCAGTCTCAAACGCACACCAAAAATCCGATGACCCACAACGCTCCTACTACCTAAACCAAAAGAAAGCCCTGGAAATCAACCCCAGACATCCCTTAATCAAAGAACTACTCAAACGTGTCAGTGAAGACCCCGAAGACCCCACAGCCAAAGACATGGCTCTGATGATGTTCCGTACAGCAACTTTGAGGTCCGGTTTCATGTTACAAGAAACCTCAGATTTTGCAGATAGCATTGAACAAATGATGAGGAAAACTTTGGGTGTTCCTTTGGACGAAAAACCGGATGAAGAGGAGTTTGTGGAGCCTGTTGATGATGGGAACGATGAACAAGAAGCCGATGATGATGAACAAGAGACAGAGCATGATGAATTGTAATAGGTATAATTGAGACTTTAAAATAGTGTTAATACGATGACTGATTTGTTTACATTCTGTTCACATTTTTATGTTTAAGATCTCATTTCATAAATGTTCATGCATCATTCGTACTAAACATATAAATAATATAATTTCTATTTATGTATAAAACTTTGTTAATAAAATATTAAAAAAAAATAACATGCCTTATTGGAAACCTGGTAATTTTTTTTTCAGCAGCACGAAATACTTTATAAAATCATCAATTTTGAAACAAATTTGTAAAGAATTAAATAATCTACAAAATTTTCTTTTCAAAACAAGATGAAAGCGACAGCAATAATAATTATTGGATCCATTTTTAAATAAAATTTATGTGAATGAAGATTTCAAATAGACATTTTCTACAAAAATATTTGCTTGAAACAAATAATACTTTTGATTAATATAAAGTTAATAATAAAATGAATCAACAAGTAAATAAAAATGAGTATACAATATTAATTTCAGAGAAAGCAGACATTTAATTTAAGGCATAATAGGAAGAACCTATTAATGATTGTTTAAACATAATAAATTGCTTTGCCTTTGTGTTCATTTTTGTTTTTAATAACCTCACAAATCATAAACTAAACAATAATAATGAATTGTGGTATTTGCTATAACCTTCTTTCTCAGAGCATTATTATTATTATAATTAACTTCATTATTATTGTAATTTACAAATATCAAATTTATGTAGCTCCAGATGAAAATTATAACACATTCTGAGCATATTTAAATTTATAATTAAAACATGACCATTATTGTAACAAAAAGTAATATTTGAAAACATTCACTTACCAAGTGAAATATAATTTACTCACAGTCTTTACAGTAAATATTTAACAACAAATAAATTGCAAACAATCACTTTGTCTATAAATAATGTTACAGATGTTTTTAAACACAATATTTTCACTAATTGTAGAATTTTTGAACACAAAACGTACTGGTCGCCATTTTTCAAAAAGAACTGTCAGAAACCACCCTGAAGTTGTGTCATTATGAACAACATGAAATTTGAATTTGAATTTGAAATCAATTTTCACATTAAATTTGTAACTTTGACTAATTTTAATTAAATTGAGCGATATTTTAGTTAAGCTAATTAAAATTTTAACTAGTTGCAAATAGCATTTTGCCTTAAGATAAGTTGCATTAACTTCCCGATACATGTACAAAATCAACTTAATCTACAATAGTTGAGATTCAATTATTTAGGTAACATATTCAACTGTTTATTCCAAACTTAAACTTTTAATTTTCACTAATAACTAATAATTACGATTTCCAATTGATGTCTCAAACATACATACTCATAATATCTGTAATTGTATAAATTAAACAAATTTTTTTAACACATTTGACTTCATCCATTTCTGTTCAAAAATGTATTCGATTTGTGTAAGTGTAATATTTACATTAGTATAAAGCAATGATTTTATTATGTCATTTATTTGTTATCAAATTTATTATCAATTTATGTTTATTTCTTATTATCAACAAAAAAAGAACAGTTTAACTAAGAAGTTGTTCTTAAGTTTAATGTAGCATTATCAATACATTTGTACATATTTGAAAAATATATAATACACATATAATTAACAAAATAAAAACGACTTTTCATTGCTCAAGCATTATTCTGTCCATATATAAATAGTCATCTCTTCCAAAAATTTTTCAAAAAACCTTTGATTAACACTTTCACTGACCGATATAAACTCTTTAGCTATTAAAAGATAATCATAGTAGAAATTAGAAAAATGATTAAACATCTTAATAAAAATGATTAAACATCTAATAAGACATTAAACATAAAATTTCCTACAAGATAAATCAGAATCGCAGTGAGATTCAATAATTTAAAATTCACTCTTGGTGAAGACTCTGGAATATAATATTTTTACAGTAAAAATATTATAGAAATTATCAGCATTTTTAAATTAATATAATTGAAGACGATTATAAAGACTTGTTAAGTGTAGTCTGTTTCCAAAATTGAGTTCATAATAAAAATAATTAACAATGATTATATATAATTTATAAATTTTAACTGGTCCCAATTGGGCACTCTTAAAATCTACAGTTTCTAAATTAACATAATTGAAGACGATTTATAAAGACTTGTTAAGTGCTGTCTGGTTCCAAAATTGAGTTCATAATAAAAATAATTATCTATGTTTATATACATTTTCAACGATTTTAACTGGTCTCAATTGAGCACTCTCAAAATCTGCATTTTTTAAATTAACATAATTTAAGTCTATTATAAAGACTTGTCAAGTATAGTCTGGTTCCAAAAATGAGTCATTAGATAAAAATAATTATTATATTATGTAAAATAACGTTTACATAGATTTTTTACGTATTTATGAGGGGGGGAGGGTCTAGAAGATTTCAAGTGTATTTAATTTTCACCTGAATTTAAAAAAAATCTATTTTTTTTTAAATATTTCCAAAGATTTTATGATTTTTTTAGAATACTAAAAATACACGTGACGTCTAGTGGGAAAAGGGGTGGTTTTATTTTACGTACAAAAATCCATCAAAATCGATCACGTGATTAAAAGACGTCTCCAAAATGCATGGAAGTTCAAACCGTCTCACGCGACATATGCGTGCGTGCATTAAATAAGTTAAAAAAGTATTTAGATCACAAAATAGCCTTATAAAGAACCATTTTATCAGCAGTGAAAGTGTTAAGAGTAAATTGCCTAATGAATATTCCATTACATCACTTCATCTTTAACCAAGTCCTAAAAACCTTATTTAATTCCTCCTGCCGTCTTCAAACATCATAATATAAACTCTAAGGGGTTAATTTTCAACAAAATAGAAATGTTATGGTAAAGCTATTTAGTAGCAAAAAATTAATCAAAAACGTTTGTATATTTTTTTACGTTAATAATCTGCATTTTTTAAATTAGCATAATTGCATGCAAATGATAAAGACTTGTTCAGTGTTGTCTGGTTCCAAACTTGCAATCTTAATAAAAATAATTAACAGTGTTTATATAGATTTTCTAGGATTGTATCTGATTGCAAATTTGCACTCTTAAAATAATCTCCTTTTTTTAAATTGAGAATGCAAATTATAAAGACTTATTAAGTGTTGTCTGGTTTTAAACTTGTACTCTTAATAAAAATAATGAACAACGTTCATATAAATTTTCTAGGGTTTTCTGATTGCAAATTTGAGTTCATGATTTAAAAATAATTGATAACGTTTGTGTATAATTTTAAAAACTATCAAAAAGCTATGTATTTGCTGTGCGATCAGGCGTTTTGCACATAAAACCTAACCTAACTTACAAAACAACCAACATCTACTTTTACAACGGTTTTATCAAAAGTGTAATTTTCTGATCTCTCTTTACATGTAAAATGTACATAGTAAAATGTACTCTCCCTTTATGTGTAAAATGTACATAAGTTCTTGATAGTTTTTAAAAATCTATCCAATCGTTATTAATTATTGTTTACATAACAGTTTTTACCGAAAACCAAGCATTACACTTTAAATGAAAATAATTAACAATGTCCATATAGATTTTCTAGGGTTTTATCTGAATGCAAATTTGAGTTCATAAAATAAAAATAAAAATGATTAAATAGATTTTTAAAAATCTATCAAGAAGCTATGTATTTGCTGTGCGATCAGGCGTTTTGCGCATAAAACCTAACCTAACTTACAAAAAAACCAACATCTACTTTTACAATGGTTTTATCATAAGTGTAATTCACTCTTTAGTGTAAAATGTACATAATAAAATGTACTCTCCCTTTATATGTAAATTGTACATACCATCTTGATAGTTTTTAAAAATCTATTCAATCGTTATTAATTATTGTTTACATAACTGTTTTTACCCAAAACCAAAATAATTAACAATGTCCATATAGATTTACTAGGGTTTTATCTGAATGCAAATTTGAGTGCATGAAATAAAGATAATTAATGAAGTTTGTATAGATTTTTAAAAACTATCAAGAAGCTATGTATTTGCTGTGCAATGAGGCGTATCTCACATAAAACCTAACCTAACTGACAAAACACACCAACACCTACTTTTACAATGGTTTTGTCATTAGTGTAATTCTCTCTTTATGTGTAAAATATACTCTCTCTATATAGTAAAATGTACTCTTCCTTTATATGTAAATTGTACATACCATCTTGATAGTTTTTAAAAATCTATTCAATCATTATTAATTATTGTTTACATAACAGTTTTCACCCATAACCTAGCTTTACCATAACATCTCTAGTTTATCCAAAAACTGACCCCTATATATATACATATATCTATATAAATAAATTTAAGTATCAATTATAATTACACTTCCCTCCATCGGTACCAATATTATTCAGAACCAACTCAGCAAACTGATCAGTCCTACTATCATTCAATTCACTCCTACGACCCAAAGCAGTCTCTGTTATACTCTGCTGCTGCTCCATATTAACATTCTGATAATTATCCGAATTCAATATATTATCTATGGTTGTAATACACTTTTGTATGTACTCTCCTATCGAAGGCTGGATGGGCAACCCGTCTCCGCTGGGGGCCATGGGCAGGTTGAAGTCAGGCTTAACATCGTTGTCGAACATCCCCAAAAGGGGGTTTGGTCTAAATTCGCTCTGGGGGTCTGCTTCGTCGACCATGTTGATGACTACGTCCGGAATGACGTAGTCCAGGTCTACGTCCAGGTCGTTGTCGCTGGTGTAGTTGGTGGCGGGTTCTTGTTTGGGGAAGGAGTACTCCGAGGCTTCTATTTTTGGCTGCAAAGGGGTGAATGAATTTTAATGATATATTCATGGTGTTGTGGATCTATAATACGGAGACTGCGTTTTTTTTTTGCAGAAATAAGTTAAATGTTGAAGTGAAACTTCTAATGTGATTTTCAACCAGGTGGGGGAATAGAATCAGACAAAGCGAGGGTTGTATCAAAAATGTTGTATTGGTCTAAAAGTGTTCTGGAGTGACAAAGTGTCTCAAAGTGATCCAGAGTATCTCAAAGTGCTCAAGAGTGTTCAAGAGTGTTCAGAAGTGTTGAAGAGTGTTCAAAAGTGTTCAAGAGTGCCCAAAAGTGTCCAAAAGTGTTCAAGAGTATTCTGGAGTGTTCAAGAGTGTTCAAGAGTGTTCTGGAGTGTTCAAGAGTGTTCTGGAGTGTTCAAGAGTGTTCAAGAGTGTTCTGGAGTGCTCAAGAGTGTCCAAAATAGTTCAAAAGTGTCCAAAAATGTTCAAGAGTGTTCAAGAGTGTCAAAAAATGTTCAAGAGTGTTCAAAAGTGTTCCAGAGCGTTTCAAGGTGTTCAAGGGTGTTTCAAGATGTTCCAGACTGTTCTGGAATGTCTAAATGTGTTCTGGAGTGTCTGAAAGTATTTCAGAGTGTTCAAAAGTGTTGCAGAGTGTCTCAAAGTGTCTGGAGTGTCCAAAAGTGTTGAAAGGTGTCTCAAATTGTTCAAGAAGGTCTAAAAGTGTTCAAGAGTGTTCTAAAGTGTTCAAGAGTGTCCTCAAAGTGTTCAAGAGAGTCCTCAAAGTGTTCAAGAGTGTCCTCAAAGTGTTCAAGAGAGTCCTCAAAGTGTTCAAGAGTGTCCTCAAAGTGTTCAAGAGTGTCCTCAAAGTGTTCAAGAGTGTCCTCAAAGTGTTCAAGAGTGTCCTCAAAGTGTTCAAGAGTGTCCTCAAAGTGTTCAAGAGTGTCCTCAAAGTGTTCAAGAGAGTTCAAAAGTGTTCAAGAGTGTTCAAGAGTGTCCAAAAGTGTTCAAGAGTGTCCAAGAGTGTTCAAAAGTGTCCAAAAGTGTTCAAGAGTGTCCAAAAGTGTTCAAGAGTGTCCAAAAGTGTCCAAAAGTGCTCAAGAGTGTCCAAAAGTGCTCAAGAGTGTCCAAAAGTGTTCAAGAGTGTCCAAAAGTGTTCAAGAGTGTCCAAAAGTGTTCAAAAGTGTCCAAAAGTGTTCAAGAGTGTCCAAAAGTGTTCAAGAGTGTCCAAAAGTGTTCAAGAGTGTCCAAAAGTGTTCAAGAGTGTCCAAAAGTGTTCAAGAGTGTCCAAAAGTGTTCAAGAGTGTCCAAAAGTGTTCAAGAGTGTTCAAGAGTGTCCAAAAGTGTTCAAGAGTGTCCAAAAGTGTTCAAGAGTGTCCAAAAGTGTTCAAGAGTGTTCAAGAGTGTCCAAAAGTGTTCAAGAGTGTCCAAAAGTGTTCAAGAGTGTCCAAAAGTGTTCAAGAGTGTCCAAAAGTGTTCAAGAGTGTTCAAGAGTGTCCAAAAGTGTTCAAGAGTGTCCAAAAGTGTTCAAGAGTGTTCAAGAGTGTCCAAAAGTGTTCAAGAGTGTCCAAAAGTGTTCAAGAGTGTCCAAAAGTGTTCAAAAGTGTTCAAGAGTGTCCAAAAGTGTTCAAGAGTGTCCAAAAGTGTTCAAAAGTGTCCAAAAGTGTTCAAGAGTGTCCAAAAGTGTTCAAGAGTGTCCAAAAGTGTTCTGGAGCGTCCCAAAGTGTTCTGGAGCGTCCCAAAGTGTTCCAGAGTGTCTCAAAGAGTTCCATAGTGTCTCAAAGTGTTTTGGAGTTACTAAGAATGTTTCAGAGTGTTCTGGAGTGTCTAAAGGTATTCTTGAGTGTCTAAAAGTGTTCTAAAGTGTTCAAGAAGGTCTAAAAGTGTTGTAGGGTATTCAAGAAGGTCTAAAAGTGTTCTAGAGTGTTCAAGAAGGTCTAAAAGTGTTCTAGAGTGTTCAAGAAGGTCAAGTGTTCTAGAGTGTTCAAGAAGGTCTAAAAGTGTTCTAGAGTGTCCAAGAAGATCTAAAAGTGTTCTAGAGTGTTCATGAAAGACTAAAAGTGTTCTAGAGTGTTCAAGAAGGTCTAAAAGTGTTCTAGAGTGTTCAAGAAGGTCTAAAAGTGTTCTAGAGTATTCAAGAAAGTCTAAAAGTGTTCTAGAGTGTTCAAGAAGGTCTAAAAGTGTCTAAAGGTATTCTAGAGTGTCTAAAAGTGTTCTAGAGTGTTCAAGAAGGTCTAAAAGTATTCTAGAGTATTCAAGAAGTACTAAAAGTGTTCTAGAGTGTTCAAGAAGGTCTCAAAAAGAGTGTTCAAGAAGGTTCTAGAGTGTCTAAAGGCATTCTAGAGTGTCTAAGTGTTCTAGAGTGTTCAAGAAGGTCTAAAAGTGTTCTAGAGTGTTCAAGAAGTACTAAAAGTGTTCTAGAGTGTTCAAGAAGGTCTAAAAGTGTCCAAAGGTATTCTTGAGTGTCTAAAAGTGTTCTAGAGCGTTCAAGAAGGTCTAAAAGTGTTCTAGAGTGTTTGAAAAGGTCTAAAAGTGTTCTAGGGTGTTCAAGAAGGTCTAAAAATGTTCAAGAGTGTCTGAGAGTGTTCCAGAGTGTCTCAGAGTGTTCCAGAGTGTCTCAGAGTGTTCCGGAGTGTCTCAGAGTGTTCTGGAGTGTCTCAGAGTGTTCTGAAGTGTCTCAGAGTGTTCTGGAGTGTCTCAGAGTGTTCTGGAGTGTCTCAGAGTGTTCTGGAGTGTCTCAGAGTGTTCTGGAGTGTCTCAGAGTGTTCTGGAGTGTCTCAGAGTGTTCTGGAGTGTCTCAGAGTGTTCTGGAGTGTCTCAGAGTGTTCTGGAGTGTCTCAGGGTGTTCTGGAGTGTCTCAGAGTGTTCTGGAGTGTCTCAGAGTGTTCTGGAGTGTCTCAGAGTGTTCTGGAGTGTCTCAGAGTGTTCTGGAGTGTCTCAGAGTGTTATGGAGTGTCTCAGAGTGTTCTGGTGTGTCTCAGAGTGTTCTGGTGTGTCTCAGAGTGTTCTGGAGTGTCTAAGAATGTTTCAGAGTGTTCTGGAGTGTCTAAATGTGTTTCAGATTGCCTGATAGTGTTCCAGGGTAATTAAAAGTGTCTTAAAGTGTTGTACAGTGTCTCAAAGAGTTGTACAGTGCCTGAAAATGTTGTCTATTGTCTGAAAATGATTTAGATGATGAATGTTTATTATTATTATAGATTGACAATGTTGCAGATTGTCTATAAATGTTAATTCAAAATGTTGTAAATCGTCTGAAAACAAACTGTCTGAAAATGTTTGTTGTAAGTTGTCTAAAAATTTTGCAACTTTTCTGAAAATGGTGCAAGTTGTTTCGTTACCATAATCTCATTGTCAATTATAGATTTGGCATATTATACTTGGTAATCTTAATCAAAAGCTGCTATCAACTGTTAATTGCAAGCAGTAATGTTTATAATATCAAATTTGTCCTAAAAGTTCACTGGAAATCAATTTCCAGCCCTTCATATGTTATGTAAACATTTTGAAGTTTCACTTCTTCTAAAAAAATTATCACAATTTCAACAAAACATAATATGGAATATGCATGTTTGTACTTTAAACATTTCAATAATTAATAATAATCTAACCATGCATATTCCACAAAAACAAAACATCAAAATCAGCAAGTCTATAGACCTGAAGTTTCATAATCGACCTCCTGATGGTCATTCTGGCTCTATTATAAGACCGACGCATTTCTACCTCTTCTGGAGTCTCCTGCGCCCTTCTCTGTCTTTGCCTTTCCCTATTTTCAGCCCGTCTCCGTTCCCTCTGTTCTTCTGTTTCAAATAACCTTGCATTCCTATTACGAAGTCTGTTTGCTAAAAGTCTCTTTTCACGTTTTTCAGGAGTCTCTAAAGCGCGCATTCTTCTGCGCTGTTCACTATATTTCTCACGGTTTGCTTTCATTCGCTCTCTATTCGCTTCTAACCTATAGGGAGAAAAAAATACATGGTAAAAGATTGATGGTAATAAAGACTAAATGTAAACGAGTCCCTAACTGAGCAACAAGGTATTAAATTCCCTAACTCTTAATCTACCTTCGTTCCCTTTGCTCAGCCGTCTCTTTTATCATATTAATACGAGCTCGTATTCTATTATAAGCTTGCCTTGCTTGTTTTTGTTCAGGAGTTTCATTCATTCGCATATTCCTCATACGTTCTCTATTGGCAGCTAAACGGGCCTCCCTTTTCTCATCAGACTCGGTCAAATAAGGATTGTACCTCTGCTTGCGGGGAGTCTTTTGTGAGTCATTTTCATGGGTTGTCAGGAAATGCTCCGGTATTGTCTTATCCACAATCTCGTCCAGGAGAGTCAAATCCATTGTAAAAAATAATTGTTACTCACTTGTTAGCAAAACATGGTATTTATAAATTCCTACACACTGTGTAAACATGGTATTGTGGAGTTTAATTTGTTTTATCACAAACTGGTAAACGTGGGGTAAAGGTAATACTTGTAAATCTCCATTGGAGAGAGAAGATATTAATTGATTTCGAGTTTATTTATACTAAACAAGATGTTTTTATTAAATGTCCTCATTATTTGACAGATTTTATGGCATTGAGAATCGAGTAAGTTGGCGGACATGTTTGCTCGCATATGACACAATGGCGGACGATGACAGCTGAAATTGACAGTTGTCATTTTGAATTACGAATTCAAATTCAAAACTAGAAAAATATAACAAAATAATTATACTATAATAAATAATAACAATTATATAAATAATATCATTGTGAATAGCATTTAATTTTAGATTTTAGCACATATAGTGTTTAAAATATTCATAATTTCAAATCATGTTAGTCTAGAACTTGTTCTATAACACAGGCCAACAAAAAACAGTTTTTTTTTTGGTGCCTCAAATGTTAGAGCTGATTCTTATAGTATTTTTTGCGCTGATTTCAAATCTGCAAACCATTTTTTTGTATCAGCTCTAGTTTTTGAGATACAAAGAAGTTGCCGAAACCAGGTCTATTCGAGGTCGTCACGGAAAAGAACTTTTCACAGTGTCAACTAATGTCCCAACTAAGGCCGAATGGGTCTTGTAAGTTTGTATGTACGAGTAGTCATATCTGATTAAAATAACATTCTGAATTGTATTACTCTTTTGTACTTTTGTTCCTTATATTAGGTGCGCAACTAAGTTCTCGCTGTTTGTCAGTATATGGCTTTATCAGTAAGGGTTGGTCGATTTTGACAAATCCAAAACGTCTTGAAGCAAGCTTAGAGTAAGTAAGCAAACTGCTGCGACACATAATTGATTTCGTTTTTGCATTATATACTTCTGGTTAAGTGAATATGTCCAATTTTATGCCAAACAATCGTTATTTGCGAGGAGTGTTGATTTTCGTCTTCCATTCAAAAAAAAACGGGAACTCAAGTGCATCGAGACCTACGGAAATGTTGCTCTGAGCGAAACAACATGCCGTGAAGGGTTTTGTCGCTTGAAAAATGGTGATTTTGAAGGTTTTGGCCTTCCTTCACGACCACCCTCGTGAAGGAAGGCCAAAACCTTCAAAAACGCTAAATTGAAGGCCTTGTTCGAAGAGGATTCGTGCCAAACTCAAGAAGATCTTGCTTCAGAATTAGGAGTTACCCATCAAACCATTTCCAAGCTATAGCATGCGTCGGGGATGATTTAGAAGCAAGAAACTTCGGTTTCTTGTGAGTTGAAGCCAAGAGACGTCGAGCGTCGTTTTTTCGCCTGTAAACAACTGCTCCAGCGGCGAGAAAAGAAGAGGTTCTTCATCACATCGTGACAGGTGATAAAAATGAATACATTACAGCAATCCAAAGACGAGAAAATCTCGGTTCGGCCGAATATTCACTGCGAAGGTTATGCTCTACATATGGTGGGACCAGGTCGGTGTTATTTGTTATGAGCTGTTGAAACCGAGTGAAACCATCACTGGAGAACTGTATCTTACTCAATTGATGCATTTTTTTATAATAAAGTTACATTTTCATCGAAAAAACAGCGAGAACTTAGTTGCGCACCTAATATCGTAAAATATATCATATATATCGTATCTTGAAAACTGAAGCTCATAGAAAAAAACCAATGCCATTTTTGAAATCAGCGCCCCAAATATACTTAAAAACAGCATTAAAATCGTTTGCACCATTTTCTTTGTTGACCTGTGTAATCTTTCAGTGCAAGTAGGATTATTAAGTATTTATTTTTTTATTTACAGAAGCATTTGTTTTTTGTATTTTATATATATATATATATATCTTATATATAAAATTGTTCTGTGAAAATGATATATGTAAATATACTCCTCCTAAACGGTTATTCAGATTTTGATAAATCTTTCTGAAGTTTGTTAAGAGAATTTTTTAGAATATATGTGATTATAAAAGTATAGTATAGTATAGTAATATTGAAGAAATAAATGGAAAAATTTGCAAACAACGAAAATATTTGAGACATTGTTTGGCGTTGAAAACAAATGAAAACTGTCATCTGCCAAAAATTTCAATTGACTTATGAGCCTAGACAATATTAGAATATGTATAATAAATTCATGATCATGAATAAGAAAAATGTAATGTCTACATTATTATTGCCAAAAAGCAGCTGAGATGTGCCAGAAATTAAAATAATATGAGATACAGCTGTATCTTATATCTAACATATACTAGTATATGCTTGGCAGAATGATTGATACACATATGAAGGGTTTGATAAATTAATTCACTTAAAATATGAAATTAAGTAATAATCAAGGCAATTGAGCTATAAATATATTTAAATTAAAAAAATAAAATGAGCCTACGAGTAATTATATTTATTGTTGTTAATTTTTGTAATAATATAATTAATATATTTGCAATAGAACTAATGTGAATTTTCATTTCAATTAGTCAGGTTTAATTGTTTTTATTACGACTTCCTTTTGTCTTAGACAGAAAATCCGACTTGCTTTTTTATGTTTTTTCGACGTGTATATTTTCTCCAAAACGTCTGAACCGATTTTAAAAATGTAAAACTAAACCGTTTTTAAATGTTTCTTTGAAATTAACAAGAAAGTGCAAAATGTTCGTCAATGCTTTAGTAAAAAAAATTCAAAAACTGTTAAAAATTATTGATATTATCGGTATTAGGTTTTGTTAGAGATAGGTGGGGTCCTTTCTTCTTAACTAACTTTTTAAATTTTAATATAATGATTTTAATGAAACTTTGTATGGAGATAAAGTACCTGGTCTTAAAAAACTTACTAATTAGTTTTTAATATTTTAAAATATTATAATAGTCATTAAAATCTGGATTGATCAACTCGTCAGTAGAGTTTCTTATCAATTATTTAGCTTGAATTTTATCCTTCAGTAGAGTTCCTTTTCAAATACTAATCTGACAATTACTTGTTTAATTTGTCTTGTTTGCTTGTCCGTAGAATTTCTTACTAATAATTCACTTTGAACCTTAATCATCAGTAAAGTTTCTTTTAATTTATTTATCTGATATTTTGCTCGCCAGTAGAGTTCTTTTTTATCTTTTTTGATTTTTAACTTTTTATATCAAAATGCCGTTTGCTCATCAGAGAGTCCTTTTTCGAATCTAATAAAACTTTAAGTGATAAAATTCCTGCACCTTATGAACATATTAAAATATTAGAGGCCTACGAAAAGTGGTTTAATCATAAAAATTAATCAAAGTTTGGATTAATGGGTTAAGTTTTTAGAAAATAGTCAGTGTATGTATTAGTCGTGTAATAAAAAAAATGTTGATCTGCAATGTCTTTTAACATTATTAGGCTTTACAGCAACTTGGTTACTTATAAATCACTCATAAAATAATATATTGATCTTATTTATATAGTCCATTATCCATTTTAGTTCATGCAACTTGCCTCAAGGCAAAACGCCACTTACGCCTAGTTTTAATTGTCTTTATGTAATTGATGAAGAAAAGAATGCAATTTAAAGCATTCGGCATAGTTTTTCACTTTGATTGTAATGAAAGTGTAACTCTGGGCGCGGCAAGAATGCCTTTCGGTTTCTCTGAGGCAACTAGTGGGGTGTATTTGCAAAAATACAACACATTATATATACATATATATATATATATATATATATATATATATACAAGGCGTCCACTCTTAAAATTTTCTTTAATTTGTTGAACCAATTTCTACAAACATATATAGGACCCAAAGTTTTCACCCTTTTACTGTTTGCAATAGTCATTTTAATCATTCACACATTTTTCATCCGAAATTCTGACGGAATTTTCAATTTGTCCGCGATTTTAGATAGATTTATGTGAGACATATATAGATTTATGTGAAAGTTGCCCAATTAGTTTGCAACTCGAGAATAAAATTCTTTATTTATTTCTTCTTTACTAGTAGGATGAACTAGTCGATATGGTTTATTGTTTCTTCGAGATCTAATTCGTCTTTCAAATAGCGACTAGTAAAAAAACAAGTTATCTTCTATGTAGCTAACTTCAAGTCGATCACACCGCCCTGAAGTTAGTCTCCGCGCTCCGCATTGACCTGAAGTTAGCCTCCGCGCTCCGCATTGAAGTTAGCACCTAGTAACTCGGTACTTTCCATTATTTTCAATTACTTTCGTCCTGTGTCTTTTTCCAATAATTTCTCAATGCGGTCCTGTTCGGATGAAACAAGTTTTTGTGCCCTTTCCCCGTCGGTTTCGCCATCGCCATCGCCGAAGTGAAAGAAGCCAAAAGAACTTCGACGAAATTCGAACGAGCGAATAACTCGCGCCATTGCATTCACAACATTCTCCACAAGAACGAATCATAATAATAATAATAATAATAATAGTAATCATTAAGTTATTCGTAGTTGATAAAGTCGTTGAGTTATTGTTGTTTGTTTGTTTAATGTTAATTATTAGTGGTGCCAAGATAAACTGACGTGTGAGTATTGTTTTATAATAAAGTACATACTAGCTGTAGTAATAAACCGTTAGGATATATATGTTCCAGGTGTACTGTAATTATTGTAATCTAACTTTTATTATAGGAGCTATTAGGTTACAACTTTGCTCCCGCCGTTTTTACAAACGAGTTCTTTGCAATAAGGGCAAAAGCAAAGTTGTATACTTTTAAATTCGTTTTAAGGTATACCGGGTTGCTGACCCGCTTAATAACGTTAGACGAAATTTTAGATAATTCAATTTCAAACAAATTCCCCGAATACATCATTCATATCAAACAAATAGTTTAAAACTTAAAGGCATATATATTACATTAGTGCAACACTTCCGATAGGGATCTTCAACTGGTCGAGCTCCAATTCATGTTGATAAGATTAGAATATAAAAAAAAATCAAAATAAAATTTTATTTAAAAATTAAAATGAATTTCTTAAAAATATTTTATTATTAATAGGTAAAATAATAATAATTAAAATTGATAATAGTAAGGCAATAACTCCTCCTAATTTATTAGGAATTGATCGAAGAATTGCATAAGCAAATAAAAAATATCATTCTGGTTGAATATGAATTGGAGTAACTAAAGGATTAGCTGGAATAAAATTATCAGGATCATTTAGTATAGAGTTTCATTTAGAGTTAAGACGTACTACTTTGCCTCCGCCGTTTTTCCCATACGAGTTCTGTGCAATAAGGGCGAGAGCAAAGTTGTATGTTGTAAAAATGCGTTTTGAAGTACACCGAGTTGCTGTAGGACTAAATGATGTTAGACAACATTGTAGATAATTTAATTCTAAACAAATTCACCGAATACATCATTTATATCAAACAAATAGTTTTAAAATTATAGACATATATATTACATTAGTGCAACACTCTGGGTATTAAGACGTACGACTTTGCCTCCGCCGTTTTTCCCATACGAGTTACTTACAAAAAGAGCGATAGCAAAGTTGTGTTTTCAAACGCGTTTTAGAGCACACCGAGTTGCTGTAGGACTAAATGATGTTAGACAACATTGTAGATAATTTAATTTCAAACAAATTCTCCGAATACATCATTCATATTAAGCCAATAGTTTAAAAATTATGGGCGTAAATATTACATTAGTGCAACACTTTTTGAGTGACGTACTACTTTGCCTCCGCCGTTTTTCCCATACGAGTTCTTTATAATAAAGGCAAAAGCAAAGTTGTAGGCTTTTAAAAGCGTTTTAAAGTACACCGATTTGCTGTAGGACTAAATGGTGTTAAACAACATTGTAGATAATTTAATTTTAAACAAATTCCCTGAACACATCATTCATATGCACCAAATACTTTTAAAATTCTGGGCGTATATATTACATTAGTGTAACTCTTTGGGTATTAAAACGTACTACTTTGCTCCCGCCGTTTTTACAATACAAATTCTTTACAAAAAGGGCGATAGCAAAGTTGTATGTTTCAAAAGCGTTGTTGCTATATGGCTTCATAATGATAGACAAAATTGTAGATAATTTAATTTTAAACAAATTCTCCGAATACATCAATCATATTACACAAATGGTTTTAAAATTATGGTCATATATATAACGTTAGTGCAACACTTTGAGTATTAAGACGTACAACTTTGCGTCCGCCGTATTTGCAACCTGAGTTTCTTACGAAAAGGGCGAAAGCAAAGTTGTATGTTTTGAAATGGAAATGCAAAACTAATTTATTTGTTTGATTACGAAAATTCATTAAAGTTTGTTAGAAATAACGAGCAACACTTTTAGGACATGCACTATAAATGTCCTAAGGGCACAAATAATATAAGTTTGTTTGAAAGATCAACTGAAAATCACATTGACTAGTTTTTAGTGAATGAAAGAACTTAATTGAAAATTTTATCTAAATAGATAAACCACAATTTTTATTGGTGTCTTAAGGCAGAATGCCACTTACACCTAGGTTTAAACTAAATTCTTCAAAAATCGTGCATATTGAAATATCTACTTCAATACATGCATTTTAATACAAAATTAACACTTTTTAAAAATTTTGCCTGTCTGCCTGATTGTTTGTTCAAAAATTCCGCAACGTATGAACCGATTTTGATGAAACTTTTTTTGGCAACTAGCTGATAAAATTGAGCGTAACTTAGGCTACTTTTATTTTGATATAATTCTATCACCAATCTTATAAACCCATTATCTATTTTGTCTTCATCATCAGTTTCACCTATCAAAAATTTTTTTCCAAAAAATCTCTTAGAATCTATAAATAATTTTAGTAGATAAAATCTTGCCCAACTCGATATTTAGTTTGCTTGTCAGTAGAGTCCGTAAAGTGGTTCAAATCAACAATCACTAATTACTTTCTTCATGCAACTTATTAAATTCAAGGTAAAGTTTTGGAGCTGTTGCAATAAGCCTCCGGGGCTACCGTGCACGTTTGTAATTGACAAATTTTGTTTTTTGTAGCTAACAACACATACATACATGTAAATATATTAATGGTTGTATTTATCATTCTAGAAAATCAAGTTTTCAAGGTCTCAAAGTTACAAATTCGAAATGAAGACAATATTATTGGCGCTAACCTGTTTCTTCGTCGGCGGTAAGTTATTTTTAATAGCAACTAATTAAATTTAGAATACACAATTAGTTTTTTATAAACAAGATATATATATATATATACATATATACATACAGTGTCAATTTAATATAAATTGAAATTACTAATTATTTTTATTATAAATTGTAAAAACCAGATAAGAGTATATTTTTTGTGAAGTTATTTAGAAGTATGAAATCTTAAAGGTTCATGTAGGACTTAAAGACATATAAAAGGACTGGATTAAAAAAAATGTGCAAGAAGAACTAAAACTATTCTAAGATCCTAGAATAAAAAATATAGAAAAATGCAAGTCGAAGCCTAGGACTTTTCACCCTAAACAAAAAAACTATCCTGCCTCCATACGTACTTGTCTCTAAAAACAACTAATCAGAACCAAGGAGATAGCTGGTTATACATTTTTTGCCCTCTACTTTCAAATATTATCGTTAATTTTTTTTTTTGAACTTTTTTAGAAATCGGTGTAGGGTGGATTTTTTTTACCCGTGGATCTTCAAGCTATATATCTCTCTATCCTATAGCAAATATCTAAATTGGGTAAAGCTTTGATATAAGAGGGTAAAGGGTTGCTAGTACAAACAAAGTGGATCATTTGTCTAATTCACACTTTTTGACGTGTATCTGTTTTTTTTTTTCAATTTCCTTGCAAATTTGCTTCTTTAGAGCTGATATACTGAGTATCAGCATACCTTTTATTATCTGGAGGAGCACTCATATTAATATTTTATAAAACAATATGAACTATATATATACCTTAATATAATATAGCACCACTATGACTATTGTCAAAGTATTTTTTTATGATTTTATGAATATTTATTCTTCATTCGTACCTGCGTTCAACTAATCAATAAAATCCATCATCAATACGATTTCGTGTCTCTAAATGCAAATAATATCACTTTCGATCAAATCGATTCGTTCGAGCACGAAATTTCTAAAATTCTTTTTCTTTGTCTTCATCATGCTCAAATGAGCATTCGCAAAGAAAAAATGCAATAGAAATTGATTTTAGCGCACGCATTTTTCATTAACGATTGCGCAATTTTACGATTGCGGTGAAAGGTCCCATAATTCAATTATAGTAAATTACAATTAGGTAATAGATAGTAATTGGTTAAAGATAAGATAGGGTAAGGCATGAAGGTCCAATTTGACTTCTAGTACTACCATTATTAGGCAGGTTTTTATAATTTTTTAATCGATTTTTTTTATTATGAAATTATCCAGTATTTTACTATTGTACAATGCACCAACTTTTGATGAAACTTGCCCACACTTTAGTGCATTTATTTTAAAAGAGGGCCTTCAAAGTAGACCAAATTTAACAATTTTAAAACCATGGTCCAACAAAAAGTCTTATTTCTTGAAAACTTGGGGCAATTGTTTTATTGTTTATGATTGTAGACTTAGAAATATTATTCAGTGTTACTGTTCCAAAGCTTAAATAAACAAAATTAGTAAAAACCACGATAACCAATATATATATATATATAATATATAAATATATTATAATATATACAATACAATATATATATATATATATATATCGCCAAAAAACGTTCCATGAAAATCGGCTTAAGTTTTTTTTTCAATAGTTAATTACAAGAAAACGGCTCAGTAGATTTTTACCTTAAACTAATCAGTATCATTCCCAACTAATATCTCTCGAACAGTTTTTGTTTTTTTAAATCATTTCGGTAGTATGAGCGTAAATGTGGACGAAAAGTTTAACACTTTTTTCCAAATTACAAAGAAACGGCTTGGCCGATCGCTGCACAAAACTGAGCAAAGATAATCTACATCGAAATTCATCGATTGGCTTTTAAATTTCTGAAATCGGTTTAGGCGTTTTTGAGCAAACGTCGATGAAAAGTCTAATTTTGACAAATGCCAAAAAAATGATACTAATTTTTGCAAACTTTGAAGAATTTTTAAAGTTGTCGAGAGGCCGTAGTATTTTAGTATGATCTATAAGACTATGGTATCTACCATAAAAAATAATAATAAAAATCGTCGAAAAATATTGATTTAACACTTTATTACAAGAAAACGGCCCGGCCGATCTTTACCAAAAACTAATCAGCACGATTCCCAACCAATATCTTTCGAACGGTTTTTGAATTTTCAAAATCGATTCAGAATTGCGGGCCTTAACTTGGATGAAATTTTTTTCACTTTTCTGCTATTTACAAAGAAACGGCTCGGCAGTTTTTCGCACCAAACTGACAAACAATAGTCCTCATCGAGATACATCGAATGGCTTTTAAGTTTTTGTAATAGGTCCAGCCGTTTTTGAGAAAACATCGATTTACGGCAAAAAATCTGTTCACACACACACACACACACACACACATATACTTTTTCCAAATTTGGTCTCATTCGATTCAGAATGGCTTGAAAGTCGAGAAAACATAAAATTAGCTAATCGGATTTTTTATGGAAACATATACTTCTCTTTCGTGAAGTTAAAAAAGGCTTGGATTGGATTATAGATTATACCAAGTTTTTCTCAGAAAGTGTATAGAACATCCAGTTTGAATGTTATAACAATAAAATATGGGCAAACGAATAATGTTAATATAAATTGAATACTATTGAACAAGTAGACTTTGTTTTTCTTTTGTTTTTATATTACCTCGATGTATATAGCATTCGAACAGCACATCCTTACACACAAAAAGTATTAATCTTTTTGATTCTCTAGAAATTGTTTATATATAATATACCTTACTTAGCAAAACAAAGTTTGCCGGGTCAGCTAGTATATATATTTTTCTATTTTTTTTTCATTTTACAGCAATTTTTATTTTATATTAAATCATCATACTACGGATATCATTTTAATGTCTTTTGTCTGGGTATTTCGGACTCAATACAGCTCTGGTATAATACCGACTAAAACCTCTGCTTTGCCCCTGCCTCTGGTTCCCGCGGAAACCGCAGTTAGGCATTACTTCGTCGGGGGAGGATCAAGAATGTTATAATTCTTAAGGATACCATTTTAATGAAAATTCTATCCTTTGTACTCTTATTTATTTAAATTTATGTTATTATTTATCATTATTGCTAGATGTTATATTATTTAACAGTTGTAATAAATATAGTAATTAAAAAAAAATTACAGCAATCGCCGTCGACTTCACCTGCCCTTCGGAAAATCACAAGAGCAAACGCGCCTCCTCGGACATCTCCTACTACCCGGACGAGATCCAGTGCGACCTCTACTACAAGTGCACATCTGGCAACCCCGTCGGCGAGCCGAAGCTCTGCCCGGACGGACTGGTGTTCAGCGACAGGTCGACGAGCTACGAAAGGTGCGATCTGCCCGACAACGTAGATTGCGGAGACAGGCTGGAGTTACGTAAGTGGAAAATGAGGGATAGACCACCAGAAAAATATTTTACTTCGACAGTGTATTATTCTTTCTAATTGTTATTTTTTTCTCAGAGCCCCCACAGTCAACGGATTTGTGCCCTCGCCAAAATGGCATGTTCAGGGTGGACAGTCCTGAAGCATGCGATAGATTCGTGCAGTGTGTCAATGGACACGTGATCGTCACACATAAATGTCCACCAGGTAAGGGAGTAACTAGTAGTGTATAGGTAAGGAAATAATTAGTAGTGTATGGGTAAAAGTTGCAAAAAGTTCTCTTATTGTGAACAGATATATAGATGAATTGAAACAAGTAAGTCTTCTTATTTTTATCAAAAAAATTTAGTGAAATTCTTGCATTGCTAAGTAAACTAGACAAATAGAAAACTCCACTGGCGATCAGATTAGAAAAAAGGAACTCTATTGACGAGCAAACTAAAGAAAAGGAATCTCGACTGAGGAGCAAAGTAGAGACAGAAGAACTAGACGCGCAAACTAGTCTAAAAATAATTCTACTGACAGACAAACTAGGGACAAGAAAACTCTACTGACAGACAAACTAGGGACAAGAAAACTCTACTGACAAACAAACTAGGGACAAGAAAACTCTACTGAGGAGCAAATTTTATAATAAGAGGGCGTCCATTAATCACGTGACCGATTTTTTAAAGATTTTTGGACCCCGCTTTCCCTTGGTGATATGAGGTGAAATTTAAAATTACCCCCTTCTTTTCTCACTAAACATAACGCGTGAAGAGAAAAGACGGTAACATTTTTGACTATTTTTAAAAATGTTTGTTTTTTTTTATTCCGGGTAAAAAATATTTTGTGATATTTTGTCAAATTCCTTCTTCCCTAAAAAAACGTCACGTGATTAATGGGCGCCCCCTAAAGATACTCGACTGACGAACAAACTACAGAAAAAAGTACTCTACTGACGAGCAAACTAAAGACAAAAGAACTCTACTGATGAGCTAATTAGAAAAAGGAAGCTCGACTGATCACCAATCTGAAAAAAAAATAAACATGACTGAAAGGCAAACTTAACAAAAATAAACTGACGAGCAAACTGCAGAAAAAGTAACTCAACTGACGAGCAAACTAGAAAGGAAACTCTACCTACGACCAAATAAGAAAAAAAAGAATTCGACTGACCAGGAAACTAGAAAAAAAAAACTCGACTGTCCAGCATACTTGAAAAAAATAAACATGACTGAAGGGCAAATTTAACAAAAAGGAATTCGACTGACGAGCAAACTAGAGAAAATAGGCTTGAACAAGTTGGTAAACCATATCAATGAGCAAAAATACAGCAATAAAATAAACTATATTGTCGAGCAAATAAAATAAAGAGCAATAAACTTGATAAATGTAGAGAGAATGAAAAGAAATCTACTGAAGAACAAACAAAAAAATAACGACTTGAAAAATTTAAAAAAAACTTTCAACCAGAAAATTGCAGAAAGGAGAAAAAAATTACTAGACAACCTTTGCTAGACAAACCCACTAAAATAAGAGAAGAAAAAACTCTACTGTCTGACAAACTAAACTATGACGTGAGGAATAGAAAAATCTATCGATGAGCAAAAATACAGAAAAAAGGAACTGACGGGCATCAACAAACATTGGCGAGTTACCAAAAAATGTAACATACCTACATTGATGAAAAAAAATCATTAAAACCAAAATGAAAAAGAAATCTACTGGCGACTAAATAGACGAAAAAGACGTTCATTGACGAGCTAAATAAAACAAAAAAGAACTCTCCTAACGCACAATATGTCATAAAAATATATAGAACATGAAAAAATATTTAGTACTTATTTACGCTACAACATTTTTTTTTGGTTTATTGTTCATAGCAAAATATACACAGTACATTCAGCTATATATTTATCATGTATATATTATTTGACAGCGTGAGAAGGATCGCTATCCTGCGATAGCATATTCTTCGATATTATGTGATGTGTTCAACAATTAATATAAAAATATTCCTTTTTCCATTTCTTATTTCCAAAGCAAAAATATTTATTTTTATCATCAATTTTAGGTTTGATTTACGACGACGAGAGAGCCCAGCAAGCAACCTGCGTCTGGCCTAGGGACGCCGTGAGAAAAGATTGCGGAAAACCCAAAAAAGGTAAAACATCAACGCAAAACTAAGTCCAGCATTATCATCCCAATTGCTTAAATTAAAAGTTATATCAACAATTTTTCCCCCAGAGGTTCTCCTCCCAGAAGGTTTCTCCTGCCCAGATTCTGCAAGCGAAGCAAGTTCCAGCGATTCTGATGCAGCCCCATTGCCCCACCCAACTTACCCCGACCCAAACAATTGCGGAAAATTCTTCATCTGCAGAGGCGGCAGGGATCCCCAAAGAGGGGCCTGTTCTGATGGAGAAGCATACAATCCTGATCTGTCCAAATGTGACGAACCCAAGAACGTCCGAGGATGGTAATAATAATAATAACGATAAAGGATATTCAATTTCTCCATTAATTTTGGGGAGCGTTCATTAATCACGTGACCGGTTTTTAAGGATTTTTGGATTACCCCTCCCCTTTGGTGATACGTCGTGATATTTAAAATTAAACGCCCCCCCCCTCCACCAAACACAAAGTGTATTTTGAGTTATGTAAAATTTTTCGAATTTACGGAAAAACGTAATTTTTTCGAGAATATATTTTTTGTGAACCCCCCCACCCTCTTCCACTAAAAGCCTCACGTAATTAAAGAACGCCCCCTTATTAGTCGTGATAAATTTTTTAAACAGAAAAAATTAAATAAAATCTTAAGGGGCACAACTAGTGTGAATATTTCAAAAAATCGAATTTTCAATTTTTCCATATTTCGATAGGTTATACTTTTAAAAATAACATACCAAAATTTCAAATCGATATCTTAAATAGTTTTTGAGTCACAGCCATTCAAAGGGTATATATATATAGTATATAGTATAACGATCATTTTATCTAAACGCGTTTTTCTCGAAATAGCATTTTCCGAATTTGCTGCAGCGATTGCTCAAAAACAAATGATCCGATCACTATCGAATTTTTTACATGCACTATATATAGTTTTACGTAAAATGAACTATCGATTTTTTGATCGGATCAAAAACCGAATTTTGGCAGTCCAAAAGCGGCCCAAATTTTGGGTAAAATTCGACTTTTTTCTAAAAATCGCCGTCATTTTGTCAATTTTTGATTTTTTTTTTCATCGTAGTTCATTTTACAGACAGTATTGTCTAGTTTAATGAGATTTTTTTTTAAATTTCATCCACGTAGAAGGCCGGAATCACTGCAGCAGTGAAGGGCCTTTTTTTTGTCGCGCCGTTGGAGATCGACGATAACTTAAAAAAATCCAAATTTTTTTAATACAAAAATTTTATTATGTATTCTTAAAATATGTATAAATATATTCCTAAAATTTTGAAATGATTGATAATTTAATATAAATTCCCAAAAATCACCTTTTTTTAGGCGGTTACACTATTTTACACTGTTCGTTTCAAAAATATTAGATTTATTACCAGAAGATGTTAAAGGTCATCCCCGATTTTTATCCACGACATTATTCGCTTTGGCTAATATTCTAATAAGTACATCGTCCTCAAGAGAAGATTGTCTAAAATTGCCTAAAAATGGCAGGATTTATTTGAAATTGTCTAGATATGGCTAAAAATGTCTGGATATGACTAAAAATGTATAGAATTTCTAAATTACACAATTTGTCTAAAAGTGTATAGAACTGTCTTCCAAATCTCTGAATTTGTCTAAAATTGTCTAGATTTGTCAACAATGTCGAGATTTGCTTAGACTTGTATAGATTTGTCTAAAAATACATGAATTTGTCTATAGATGTACAGAACTGTCTTAAAATATCTAAAGTTGTCCAGATTAGTTTAAAAATGTCTGGATTTTAATAAAAGCGCATAGAATTCTCTAAACATGTTTGGATATGTCTGGATACTCCTGGATCTTTATTTATTTCTCAGCTCGTTAGACTTTCCATCAGATTATTATGATATCCATATTTTTTTGCTCCCACAAGATTTCTTTTAAAGATTTTTTCATTCCACCATATCTTCCAACAACAAATAATATTTTATTAAATAGATATTTCTTATATAAACATAGTAATTGTTTATGTCTTTTTTTAATAAATTACTAATTTTAACTTCTATTTTCAGCGAGGACTATACGGGAGAAGAAGACGACGAATAGTTTGCACAGAAATAATTATTTATGAAAATTAGATTATAGTCTTAAATATATTGTTTAAATATACTATTTTATAAATAAGTTATATTTATATAATTATATAATAAGAACTTTGTATAAAATAATAAAAAACTATAAAATGAAGTTTGATTTATGAAAATACAAATGTGTGATTTGAAACAAGGACCAGGAGTTTTGTGCTATTGTTATAAATAATTCTTTGTCAGAAATTATAAATCCTTTGTATGAAAAAACACTTTTTTATCGAGCAAGTAAGAGAAAAAAAACTCGACCAATGAGCAAACTAGAGGAAAAAACTGTACTAACGAGCAAACTAGCGAGAAAGCAACTTTATTGACTAGCAAATTAGGGAAAAAAAAACCCTCCTTGCGACCAACTAAGAGAAAAAGCAACTGTACTGACGAGGAAACTGGAGATAAAAGAAATCCACTGATAAGCAAACTTAAGGAAAAGGAACTCTACCGACAAGCAATATTTTCGTCCAATTTTGACAAATTTTCACCACCAACCTGTCCTGTATGCACCTGTCCAATCGTAGATGACGCCACGGAAAAAAGTTGTGTAGATCGAAATTATTTCAGAATTTTTAATTTTTATTCTATTATGTATATTTTTCAAATTTCGTAAAGAATAAAATATTTTACATATGCACCTTGGCACACATTATTATTTAAAATTTAATTAGATTTAATAAAATGCATATAATTTTCTTACAATACTCGACTTCTGTCCTGAACACTTCAAAATTTTCTTCTAGATTCGAAACAAACTTTTTCGATTTAAGATATTTTTTGTGTTGACTAGCATATAAAATGATACATAAGCCTATGAATAATGAATATAGTAAACAATTAGGTGTAAGAGGCATTTTGATTTAAATCTACTCTCTAACGTGCAAATAATCGACTTTGATCAATAAAATAAGTTGCATCTATTTAGATAATATGTTTAACTATTTATTTCCAAAATGCAGTTTCCACTAATCAAAGCAATTTCCAGTTGAGATATTTCAAACACACTAATAAAATCTGTAATTGTATTAATTATAGAGCATGAATATGCACTTAGAACATACACTTTGTATGTCCAAATTATTCCAAACTTTGATGATTTTTTATAATTAAACCACATTTCGCAGAAAACAAATATTTCAGAATGTTCTTTGGCAATGAACTCAAACATAATAATTCTCAATAAAATTGACGAATTAATTACTTGTTATTAAATAGCTGGTGCTATCTTTACCGGAAACTAATCAGATGGATTCCTAAATGAACTATTTTTGAATCGGCTCAGTATTCTTGGCGAAAACGTGAACAAGAAATTTGAGGTTGTTCTTGGTTATATAACTCTCTTATATTTGTTTATTAAAAATTTAATAATTTTTAGGATATGTAGCAATATAAATTTTGTCTTATTGATTTAAGTTTCAATACTACAACTACAGATGTAAATTCCTACTATTCCTACAAGTTTATAAAATTAAACTGTTTAACCGAGCATTTACTCTAAATTCTCACAGAATCTCTAAAATATTACTGAAAGTTGCATAAAAAAGAAGATGGGTGTTTCAATAGTTTAAGAGAGTAAATATTGAGAGTAAAATATTTTCTTGTGAAGAGCAGATTTTAAAATACAGTTTATATCATGTGTAGAAACTCTCATATATTAAAGAAGGGCACCTAGCAAAAAAATGAAAACATCTTCGTTAATCCATACGTTTCGACGTGCAATTTTACCTCATCATAAGTGAACTTTATTACTGTAAAATTATAAAAGATTAAAAGAAATTACAGAAAAACATCGTACAAAGAAACAGAATATAATTAAATGTTGAATTTGTAATTTTTCTGTTTTTGTATCTTTCAAATAATAGAAACTGTATAACGTAAAATTCTACGCCAAAACGTATAGAGTAATAAAGATGTCATAAAATCGGCAGGCACTCTCATAAATTTGTTTATCGGAATTAATGTAATAAATGTGCATTCACATTTATTTATGTATTATTATGTTATATTATATTAAGTCGTCGGTTTCGTCACATCCGAACAAAACGGGTTTTTGTATTTTGTACTGTTTCACTTTCACTTCAAACGACAACGAGAGTTCAAACAGACAGACAGACGAACAGACGGACACTTGTATGTATATATATATATATATATATATATATATATCCAATGAATGTAATATATTGATCTAATTTTTTGTTTTGTTCTTTCAAGGTTTGAACAATGATTGAGTAATACATACTGTTACGCTTGATAGCATTTATATATTTGTTACATTACCATTATCACAAGTAAAGTTCGGATTTTTTTTGACATTACTATTTTAAAGTAGGGGGCAAAAAATGTGCAACCAACTATTATTAAATCGACCGCGCTAATATGAGATAAACGACCCACATTGCAAATTTTTAACCGAAGGTTTGTTGTTGTTAGTTTTTTGGTTTTGAGCACTGTTGTTTAGTTGACAATACCTGAATATAATTTTTATAGATGTGCTATTTAATTGTTTAATAATTATTGTTGAAGTTAAATTCAACAGATTTTTATAACCTTTATAAATGCTTACATGTGGGGTAAAAAGGACCAACTAAATCTTCAAGCCAATAAGTAAATTTACTTTTAGTAAATAAAAGTACAATGGGTAAAATTGGCAATGGCAATGGCAATTTTACAAGAGATAAATCAAATTAACAGTTATTCCAACTATTATATATTATTTATTACTTTGTATCTTCCTGACAACTTTCTTCCAATATTTATGATTAATATTTGAAGAAAGTCGCAAAGATGCATTTTTATTTAATCTTTTCGTCCATTATTTATTTAAATTAGGTGAAATTCTCGTAAAAATACAAATCTTGAATGTTTATTGACAAAAGCTCCAAGTTAGAAATCTAAGATTTTAATTGCTTTTCCTTTGATTTTTTATAAATTATATATATAATACTTTCACTTACAATTGCATTTTATTACTGATTAAAAAACAAATTAAAAATCAAGCAATCGTTCAATTAATTATTATCGATTTGCAATTTATTTTTTGCAGAAGCAAAAATTTAGCGTTAACAAAATAAATGAGATAATAAGAATAATAAAATTATTAGTAATAATTCATTCATTTTTATTGCCATACACCACTAGTTTCATTTAAGTCTGTCTGTATTTTATTTGTGTGTGTGTGTGTGAATTGAGTGAAAGTGAATTTTCGCACAAAAAAACGGAAAACAAATTAAGAAGATTTCTGAATGAGATATTCAAACAATTGTTGCTCAACATTTTCTTTCCAGTTAAATAATTACTATTTACGTTCGAGAGGAAATAATAAACGGAGAGCTAGTGGAAAAAATACAAATTTGGAATAAAGCATTATAATAGATAATAGTTAAATGCTGGTTATATGTGCAAGAGAAATAATAAGCAGTAAACTAATATAAATGCATCTTTCAAATAGTAATTAAAATCCATACAAAATGATTCTGATACCTTTAAAAAGATAAATATTTTCAAAATCTATATTCATAATTAAACATAAAATAGTGAATAACGTAAATAGTTACTTAAATATATTTCAATATTCATTAACATGGAAAAAAAATTAAGTGTCTAGTATGTCTGTATGCATGTACGGATACAAATTTTCATCGACGTTTTCGGACGGATCAACCGATTTGAATGATTCAAAAGGCAATCGATTCCTACTGATGGGGAGACAAAAGCATTAATATTTACAATAATAATTCTATATTCTATATGTCTATATTTAATTAATTAGTCTTCGGTTTTAGTATTAGTACTAATAGTACTTATTAATCATTTGTCGTGATATATGGTGGTGGTAACACTTTTTGGGTCGCCGGCGCCCTGTCTATTTCTCTCGGTAATATTTAAATGTTATGTTAATGTGTTAGAAACTTTGAAAAGCAAAAGTGGACATGATGTGTGTGTGTTATGTTAAGTGCGGAAGTTCTTTCTTTAGTCCAGTCCAGTTTAAGTTAATTATGGTTTTTGCCTTTTTGCTATTACTTTGCAAAACAGGAAAGGTTTTACAAATAGCAATTTGAAAAACCATTTTTTTCTTCATAATTAATTTGGAAAATCTACTTACTCAATGTATTTGTAATATGTCGTTAAAACACATACATTCCTATATTTTTACCCTCTTACTACAAATCGATATTTCGTAATAGTCATTTTAGTAACCAATAATTTTTCATCCCTTTTTGTTCTTATAAAAAAGCTTAAATATTTCTTTAAAAAACAAGTCCAAAATTATTCTTTCAATATTAAATTTTCACCCTCCTACCACAAATCAAAATTTCGTAATAGTCATTTCAGTAATCGAATCATTTTTTATCATTCATCATTTAAAGCTTAAATCTTTCTTTGTAAAACAATACCAATATCAATTATTCAATCCTAACCCTTGCCACTCGGATGCTACCCTCTGGCGACAAAATACGTGTTAATTGTGGAATTCGCGATTGGAAATTGGAAACAAACCAATATTTAGTAATAGTCATTTTAGTAATCGAATAATTTTTCATTCCTTTTTGTTCTTATTAGATCATTCATCCTTTTTCATCCCTTCTTGATCTTATAAAAAAGCATAAATCTTTGTTCAAAAACCAATTCTAATACATTTATTCAATCCTGAATTTTCACCCTCTTAAGAAAAATTAAAATCCACCTTATTTCTTGCAATTAAGAAAATTACATTGCAAAATCTTAATAACGCCAAATATGTTTTACAATCATTGGGATAGTACGAGGACAGCAGTAAAAGATTTAGTCTTATAACCATTAGATCTTAGACAACCTGATAACCCCTAAAACTCTTAGAGCAATTTTATTTATTTTATTTTAATGTAATACATAGTTAAAGACAGTATGTATCTTCAACTAGGTATTGCATTAAAATAAAAATGTCCTAAATTTTCAGCCTTCTAAAAAAATTGAAAATATAACTCATTTCTCGTAATTAAGAAAATTACATCGTAAAACTTCAATAACACTAAATTTGTTTTTCAATTATTAGTATGAGAATTTGGATGCAACTACTGAGTGGTTTTCAATTTCCGATCTCGGATAACCTGATATCAAGCAGCAATAATATCAAATTTATTTGAAAATATAGATCTGATGTCAAAATAGTCCTACGGGGCATTTCTGCATATATATCACATCATTGTTAGAAATACATCAAATAGTATTATCATTACGAAGAGGAAGCACAACCACCGAGCCTTCTAATAATCCTACGTTATAAGGAATTCAGCACAATAAATTCTGATTGTTGTCCAAAAATACAAAATTATAATCTATCTATTTTATTAGCAATCCCAGCATTTATTCATGCTGAATTTTTTCCTTTGGAAATTTGGCTTACTTTATTTTATTAAAATACACGTATATAAAGAACACACAGTCTCTAACATACAGTCCTAAATTTTCATCCCTCATAGGCATTTTAGTAAACGACTTATTTTCCATTCTTAAACGAATCATTTTCCATTCATTTTTAAGACATAAGGATGAGACCAAAATCGGTGGTGTCCTGTTTCTCCCATCGCCTTATAATAACCATAAACCAAGGAATTTATTACAATAAGTTCTAATTCTTGTCCAAAAATACAAAATAAAAATTTATCTATTTTATTAACTATTTTATTAACAATCCCCACCGAAAAGCACAAAAAGTCGTCCTCCAGTTTTGTCTTCATGAGCGGCGGCGACAGTCGCTCCAAAACTAGCAGAGTGCCAACACGGAAATCGTTATTATAAAACAAAAAGTTATAATAATAAAAAGTTATTGGTTATTATTTGTTTAAAAAATAAAATATTTAATTAATAAAATATGGAGGTGCAGATCAAGTTATTTGTATTACTCGCCACTATTGGAATTTTAAACGCAGGTAGGTAAAGGACACATAATTGTTAAAAAAAATTCTATAAATGTATATTTTGGCAAAATATCGGAAACTTTTTTTTCTATTGTGGTACAAAATTATTTCTGCCAAATTAAAATCAAATAATTAAAATTGTTTGAAAATTTAAAAACGTTCGAAAGTTAGCAGTGCTGAATTTGAAGGTTTTGATAAAGATAGGTCGGGCCATTTCTTCGTTCAACGTTTTTTCGACGATTTTTCTAAAACTAAGTTTAGTGATAAGTTTCATGGTCTTAACAGACATCCTAAAATATTGTAGGCCTACAAAACGTTGTTTATTGTAAAAATTAATCAAAGACAATTATTTATTTAATACATAAAATAGCTTGATAAATAATCACGTACATTCTACTTTTTTCTCGCTTTTTTATGTCACTGAAAATAACAGAGCAAGCTTATCCGAGAATATGCTCACAAAAAATCTTTATCTGAATTAAAACATTTTGATTTTTGTGAATATAACTTTTTATGAGATCTGGCAAGACTTTTCACTCCATCGGCCAACACGAAGCCTAAAGTATCCTTAGGAGTTTCAAATATTTTCATTAAAGTTATTCTAGAATAAACCCACAAAAAGCAATCCTAATCATGTATTCAATCTTAAATTTTCACGCTTCTAAAAAAATAAAAATTCTACAAATATTTTGTAATTATGTGAAGTGAAGTGAACATACAGTTTTAGTAGATCAGGCAATACTTTTCTCTCCATCGGGTAACACAAGAAATAAGATTTCCTCAAAAGCACCAAGATGTACCAAGAAAATTTCATATTTAAAATTAATAATAGGCATTTTTTCTTAGTTAAGCATGCTCCCTTATCTTACGTAAGACAAAATGATTTCATACAACAATCATGAGGACAAGATAATCTAAAAGTCCCTAAAATTGCAAGACAACCTTTCATTTAATCCACGTCATTTGTTCTAGATTTTTTATAAGATAATAAATCAAAATTTTGCCTTAGACCTTTTGAATTCATTGTGATTGCAAAGTATCTACTGTTTTTCCATTTTATTATGCTATCTGGCAATACCTTTTTCTCCATCAGGCAATACTGAACCCAAGTACATTCAGGAGCACAGAGGTGTTCCACAATAATTTTATATCTAAAATTACTAAAATAATGCAATTTCTTAGTTGAGCCATATCACTCATCTTATGTAAGATAACAATAAAAAGTAATAAAAGTAAATTATGACAGAAAATATGAAAGCTTAAAACCTAAAAATGCTCAAAATTGCAGAAAACCTTACCCTTTTGTTCTAGACCTTCTATGATACAACAAGATAACAAATCAAGATTTTATCAAAGAGATTTTGAATTTATTAAGATTGCAAAGTAGCTTTTTAGATTTACAATCTGGCAATACTTTTTACTCCATCAGGCAATACTAGGCACAATGGTGCTCCAAATAGGCCTTTTAGAAGGTAGTAGATTAGATAGATATGTTGATTAAAACAAATACTTCTTAAACAGGCATCAATCCAGATAATAAAAATATCAAAAACAATTAAATTATATTTCTAAAATTTTATCAGCATAATTACTAAATGTTTATATTGACAGCTTGTGATTTATATTGAATAAAAAAAAATTCTAAAACCGTTTCGAGTCCCAATTTCACACTTCTTCAATGAAAACTTTTTCATTCCAATGAACGTTATTTAGTGAATAATTTCCAAATCCAAATCGAATTTTAAATTTTTAAATCATCAATTACAACAATGAGGTTCCGTCCAAATAGAAATCATCAATCTCCAGCATTGTCCTCGACAGCAATAAAATTGAACAATTCCTTGGAATTGTTAGTTACAAAATTGGAAAGTTGATTTTTGAGCAACAATCGATTATTATTTTGTTCGCGTGTAAATATGTACATGTGAAATATTATTACCGATTATTATTTATTATTCAACAGAATTTAAGACATGTGTGTATGTTGGCTTTACTTTCATTTTCGACTTTTAATAACACCTGGAAGCCACATAAGAAAAGATACAAATAGAATTTATATGTGGTAAATTATATGATTTGTAAGCTTAAGAATAAAATAAAATAGCTAGAACAAAATTCCTGCTTGATTTTATTCCTTAGAATAAGACAAAAATTCCTAGTGTTGCCTGATAGATAACAAAGTATTGCCAGATTGCATGGGAAAACCATATGAGTACTTTACAAAAATAGAAAAAATCAAAGTGTCTCGATTAAGATCTGGATTTGTTATCGTAGTGTAAAATATAAGATCTAGAATAAACAATGTCTTGCAATTTTTGGGCACTTTTAGATTATGTTGCTCACGTGATTTCTATCTTAAGATACTTTTATATTGGACAGATTTTAAAAATAAAGAATACTAACTTATCTTACGTAAGATAAGAGAGAAGGCATAACTTTAAAAAAATGTATTAGCCATTTTAGATATAAATATCCTGCGTACTCTCGAGTGTTCTTTAGGCATCGTGTTGCCTGATGGAGAAAAAAGTCTTTAAGTGAAGACGTAGATTTAATATGAGGTTGTTATGTAATTTTGGGTACTTTTAGTCATGTTATGTTGCCCTCATAATTTTTGCCTAGACACTTTCATTTTTAACAAATTTTTCTAAGTCTACAAGTAATTTTAGATACAATATAAGTTGTGGTGAACCTTCGCCTAGTATTGTCCGATAGAAAAAATGTATTGCCAGATTGCATAAAAAATGGTTACTTTACAATCATAATAAATTTAAAATGTCCCAATTAATTTCTTGATTTAGTTCATTTAGTACGGAACATGCTTAGTAGTTAAAATAAAAAGTGAATCCTTTCAATTTTAAAGTAATTAAACAAGTTTATAAATTTCTGCAGAAGAAAAATAATAAATAATTGGAAAATTACCTAAAAAATTTTTTTATAAGATAGAAGCATTTAGTTCAAAAATTTTAAAATCATAATTATTAATAGGTATGCAAAAAATCTTAAACAATATTATATTCGTTCGTTTTATAATAAAGAAACCTTGAATTCATAATAAAATGAATCAATTAAAAAGCTATTTCTCGTTTGTATGTTGCGTGAATATAATTTATATGTGTATATATATACACAAGTTATATGTATACAACAAAATGTTGTATTAGATATAATAACGTTATCGGGAAGTTTTTGAAAGTAAAAGTGATTTGGCATTCCGCGTTCGTTCTTTCAAATCGACTCCAACAACTACATTCGACTCACGACAAACCATTCAAGACACGTTTTTAATTAGCATCTATTTCTTTATATACATATACATATGTATATATACACACACATTTATATAAAATTATTTAATAGCCCATGCCTCTAAATAAAATATAAATTTGATGAAAATTGTATAGATTCGAGAGCCAAATGTGTCCCAACTTTCAGCTAAAATGTAATAAAATATTTTCCCAGTTATAATTTCCCAAAATTTATCAAAAAATAGATAGTAATATATAAAGGTCCGGGGTTAAAAAGGTCCACCACCGATGTGTCAAAAACCAGTAAAGTTAAGCATTGTTTAACAACAATATTTGAAAGTAGAGGGAAAAAATGTATAACCAGCTATAACCTTGATTCTCATGACTTTGCTGTCGGGAGATAAACGGTATAATCTTTGAAAATCCATAATAAAAGTATTTTCTTCCGTTGGTAGTTTTTTAGCATTAGTTAAAAATGAAATTGTTTTGTAAAATACCTTTGAAATTAAAATAAGACACCTGTTTGCCACCTGACCGTTCCAAATTATCCCGTCTATGGGATAAAAAGTTCTAGGTAACAAATTTTTGAAAGACATCAAAAAAGAACATTTCTACAATGATGAAGTAGCTGGCAGTTTTACTGAACGTAGCCAGATAATTGTTCGTTTGAAATGTGTTATTTGTTGTGATATAATTGGTTTGATTTTTATAATATAATTAATATTTGCTCAAAGTCAAATTGGACCTTTGTGCCTCACCCTGGTCTACATATATACTTTTTATTAAATTTACTTTAATTCATCGAACGTTACTTGAAACTTTTCAAAAGGCAAGTCAAAGAAGAAATACTTGATTCATTTTCTATCTCTCCTCGCAAAACTTTGAAAATTTTGTATAAGCTCAGTAGTATTATTTACAATTATACACAAAATCCAGAATCCAAAAAGAATCTGGAAAACTTGAAACGTAATCAATAAGTCCAAATAAGACCAAAAAATACTTGAATTGGATTATATATATGATGTTTTCTATAAAACTGTGTATAAATCTTCCAGTTTGATTGTATTGACAAAATATAGACAAACTAATGAGGTTTATAATACGTCATTGTATATAGCATTCACACAACACATCCTTATACACTTAAAGTATTAATATTTTTGATTATCTAGAAATTGTTCAGAAAATACCTTACTCAGCAAAACATTAATATTAACAACTCTAAATATTTTAAAACTCTCTCTAATCGCTACCGTAATATCAGAAAAAAATTCCATGGGCTATAGCAACTTTATTAAATAATATAGTTAAAAATGTATCGAAAAAAAACATTTTTTGTCAAAATTCCTAGAGAACACTATTTGCTGTGTCACACATTTTTGACTGACATGGCCCTTTATTAGAACTTTTTTACAATTTGCCTATTATTATTGAAATTTATTAGAATACATACTTATTATATTAAGTTGTCAAATATCTCCCTTCCGCTTTTTTGCTCTTGGTTTATAATACAAAAAGGCGGAAGGGAGATATTTGACAACCTTATCATATCACCAGAAAGCTAATGAAATTTACTTAAAGGCTGTATATAATAATTAATAACATTTAGAACAAATTTATTTTGTAAAAAATCGGTTCGGCCGTTTTTGAGAAAACGTCGACCGAATGACAAAAAGGCTCGCATACTTTTTAGAAATTTGATCTCAAACATAACATAAAAATCGTATTTCCAGACTACGATGTTCACACATTTATGTCAAAACAAAAAATGCACATCCGAAAATAAATGAAAGTTAAAACATTCTCACGATATTTTTTTAGATAAATATTTTCATAGTGTATTTTTAATTTCCATTTATTTTCATACATTTTAATATTTTTCTGTACCAGTTGTTTCCAATTAATTACGATCGACAAAATTTGCAAAATGACTAAAATTGCATTAGTATTTTTAATAATCAGTTTTTGCGCGCTAACTTTCAACCATCAAGTTTTTGAAGTCGAGGAAGAGCAGCCAAGTCGAAGGTTACAAACTTTTATCGATCATGTTAAACAGGCCAGGGGAGTTTTTAAGTGGATTCGAGAGGCTGCAAAAGCCATGGATCCCAATTTGATACCCACTCCCATCAAAATCCCTTTTGTATTGCAAACTAAAGAGGAGCAGGCGGAAACCCTTCGAAAAAAACGTGAGGCAGAAATGCGCGTTAAACGAAGACACCAGCTTATAAAATCGATGCCGGAGACAGAAGACTATCCTTCGAGCGAAAATTTATCAGGTGAAGGTATAGGACAGGTAATATTATCTAGGACTGGCAGAATCCCCAGGCCGTATGCAAAAAAACATGGTAGTATATTCTCAAAAGAAGATCCTATCGGGTACGATCAAAGTAAGTACGAAAGGGACCCTTACAATTTGAATCGTCACCATTTTGCGCATGTTGAAGACCAAGATTTAACCCCTGAACAAATTGCAAAATTTGATTACGCCCATTCCTTCGGCTTCGACGCCAATACGAGACAGAAGAGAGATTACGGTAAAGACGACCCCAAAAATTTACCCAAAAGAAGTCTGGATCCTGAGAGTGAGATAAAACTCAAAATCAGCGCTAAATTGTTCTCCAAGGGATACCAATCAGTTTTGCCATCTGACTTGTATAAGGAATTCGATACCAGCAAAAAAGATTCTACAGGGCTCATATCAACCAACAATGACGATAGTCAAGTAAAAGATAATGTCGATAGTGAACTTCCGAATGTTGAGGATGGCTTGGCTAAAGTTACTGATGATGGTAAACTTGATAACAATTCAATTGATAACAAAAATAGTGCACTGTTTAACAAAGATGAAACCAAAACAGTTGGTTATAGTAAACTTGGCGTTAACGATTTGGCTTTTAAACCAACAGATAGCAGCAAAATTGATGAACCTTTATTAAAACCTTCCAGTGAGACTCATACAAATGGATTTTCCAGCAACAAGATTACCGATGACCACAAACTTGATGTATACAGTAATTGGGATCGTCTAAAATCTGATGTGAATAAAGTGGTGAGCAACAGTAAACCGGGTGATAGCCTAAAGTCCTTTAACACTGGCGTTGGAGAAAATAAAATTAATGAAGTTTCCAGGATACAAGAATCCAAAATTGCTGATAATAAACTTGTTGTCAAAAAAGATAATATTTTACCCAACGTCAACGAAAATACTGAAGCTCCTAAAGTCGCAAGTGTACCCAAAATCACAGATAAACCAGTTGTCATCACCAATGTGGCACTTACACAACCTAAGAAGAATAATCCTTGGCCAAATAATCCTTTACCAAATAATCATTTACAAAATAATCCTTTACCAAACAATCCTTTACCAAATAATCCTTCACCAAATCCTTTACCAAATAATATTGTACCAAATAATCCTTTACCAAATAATCCTTTACCAAATAATATTGTACCAAATAATCCTTTACCAAATAATCCTTTACCAAAGCCCTCAAATGCTGTACTTAAAAACAATAAAAATAATGAAGTCGAAGATGGCGAAGCCAAAATTACCGATGATCATAAACCTGAAGCCGACAATGATCTGAACCAAAAAGATTTATCAATTACAAATGAGACTGAGAATCCTGAACAGACCAAAACTGATGAAGATCATTTGAAAGAATCCACTGGTGAAGAAAAAAATTTGTTGTTCCCAGATGAAGGCAAGAACCCCGAACTGGCCAAAACCGAGGAACAACATTTAGCTGATGAAAAGGATAAAAATTTGATGGTTTCAGATGAGAACAAAATGTCCCAATCCATTGGTGATGAAAAATCTAATATGATTGATTCTAATAGCAATGATGAAAAGGAAATAAGTTTAAGGATGGCCCAACAGGCCCAGCCTGAAGAACAACATTTAGAAGCCCAATAAAATCTAATATAATTATTAGCAGTTATGAAAAGCAAAAAACTAGTAGTGAAATAAGTAGTAATAAAAATTAGTATGTCGTGTAGATTTTATTTTTATTAAATATTTTTCCAATCAAGAGTAGATTTTTAGACTCTAATTAATGTATGTTATATGATGTATGAACTAATGAAAAATAAATTACGAAGTATATAAAATAAATACATTTTATAAAACAAATTACTTTTAAATATTATTGAAATTGTTTAGTTAAAATTTATTTAATTATTAACTTCCCATAGGGTAGTTATAGTAATGGGCCGAAAATCAAAAATAAAAATTTTTGCATTTCTTGACGTTTTGAAGGTTTCTGAACATTTTACTGCCATACCTCAGAAAAAATGGATGTGTGTATGTGTATGTATGTATGGCATCGTGCCTTAAGACAAATTTCTGGAATTTCCCGTACCGTAATGAAATATTCGAGGAATTTTAAATATTTTTAAGTATATTATTATAAATATTGTAACTTTCATTATTATTATTTTATAGGCAAAATGTAAGAGCTTGGAAATTGAACGACGTTTATATATGTTTACATGAAAAGTAAATGGACAAAACCTAATCAAACGGAGTTAGAATAAATGACCTTATCTCATATTTATAAGAATTATATAAACTGAATTGCAAAGTTAAAATTATTTATTTCAAGTATATAAGTGAGCTTTAGAACTTTAGCTAGTATTAAAATTCAAATCCGAACTATTTTCGAAATACAAAAAAAATATTTAGAAATTAAATAAAAAATTGAAATAAAATTTTTCTTTACCAGAAGCAATCGTTTTGTCAACAAAAGCAAAAAGTTTTTGAATCATCCAAATCGAATGCTTATTTCTATCAAAAACTGCAATTCTTGCAAATTTTTCTCTGTATCTTCAAAATGGCGGGACCTGTCTTTACCAAAAACTAGTCACCACTTCACGACATCATTACGAATTAAAGGTTATTTGAATCATTCAAATCGGATGCTCCGTTCTCTCAAAAACTCGATTGTTATTTTCTGCACTCTTTGCTCCGTATCTCCGTAACAGCTGGACCTGCCTTTGCCAAAAACTAATCAGCATATCTCCCTATTAATAGGAATCGAATGTTTTTCGAACCATTCAAATCGGTTGATCTGTGTGCCCGAAATCGTGGACGAAAAACTGTATCCACACATACACACACATGCATTTTCTCCTTTAATCGCAAAAAGATCAAAAATATTTTTTTTTATATATTTTTACGTTTCAGAGGTTTCTGAACATTTTGGCATACCTTAGAAAAAAGGATGTATGTGTGTGTGTGTGCGTGTATGTCATAGACCTTATACAATACGTATATAAGGTCCATGGTTTGTGTGTGTGCGGATACAAATTTTCCTGTTTGAGTGTTTGTCTGTTAGACGGCGACGCGGCGCTTTCGCGCTTCTACTTTTTGTCTTTATGCTAAAGTAGTATGATTGCTTTGAAAAAAGTTCAAAATTTCCAATTTACTTCAAAAAAAAATTTTTTTGTAAAATCTTTCTTTTAAAAATCTAATTTTTTCAGTTTAAAAAAAATTGAAGCTTTTTTAAAATTTTAATTTTTGGTACGCGAAGTACCAGCAATTTGCTTTTGGCACGATGCCATACACCACTAGTTTATTATAGTTTAGTAAATTCTTATACAACAAACTTTAATATAGTATTATATTTGTTTCAGGAATTGTTCCTGATGGTCCAGCCTGCCCTGAACAACACGGAGAACAGGTAATTATATATATATATATATATATATATATATATATAAACAATTAGAATAACCTTTTGCTATCAAATTTTGCTCTAATTACAAAATTTAAACAGCCTATAGACTTAATGTAAAAATTGTTTTCCATAGTCAATTGCTTATTGGAGCAATTACTACAATCTTTTTTTTTCTTTTGTTTCTTTTTATTTTTTTTTATGTGTTTTCTGTATGTTTTATCTAATTTTATTTATTTATTTATTATTATTATTGTTATTTTTTTTTCATTTATTTCTGTGGTTATTATTAACTTCCCGTAGGGTAAGTTATTGTAATGGGCCAAAAATCGGAATTGAAAATTTTTACATTTCTCGACGTTTTGAAGGTTTCTGAACGTTTTGGCATACCTCAGAAAAAATGGATGTGTGTGTGTGTGTGTATGTGTGTGTGTGTGTGTGTATGTATGTGTGGATACAAATTTCCAGTCACGTTTTAGGGCGCACGGATCAACCGATTTGAATGGTTCAAAAAACATTCGATTCCTATTGATAGGAAAAAGAGCTGATTAGTTTTTGGCAAAGGCAGGTCCAGCCGTTTCGGAGATACGGAGCAAAGAGTGCGGAAAATAGAAATCGAATTTTTGAGAGAACGGAGTATCCGATTTGAATGATCTAAAAAACATTCAATTAGTAATGATTGGGAGAAGTGTTTATTAGTTTTTGGCAAAGGCAGGCCCAGCCATTTTGAAGATACGGAGCTAAATATGTAAAAAATGGCAGTTTTTGAGAGAACTAAGCGTCCGATTTGAATGATTCAAAAAACTTTCTGCTTGTCTTAACAAAATAATTGATTTTGGAGAAAAAAAATTTTGTTCGATTTTTTTTTTTTTTTTTTAGTTTTTTGTTGAAACAAATAATTTCAACTCTGCAATTCAGTTTATATAATTCTTATAAATATTAGACAATGTTACAATATTTATAATAATCTATTTGAAAACATTCAGTATTCCTCGAACATTTCGTTACGGTACGGGAAGTTCCAGCAATTTGCCTTAAGGCACGATGCCACCCACCCCACTAGTTATTATTATTATTATGTGTAATTTAGCCATATAACTCACAGGGTATGTAAATAACTCTGATTGTTATATAATATGAAAATAAAAAAAATAAAAAAAAATTACAAAATTTTCAACTGCTCTTATTAAACTCTTATCATTACAGGCCTATGCACATCCAGAACAATGCGACCAATTCTTCCTCTGCACCAACGGCACTCTAACTTTGGAGACTTGTGAAAATGGACTTTTGTTCGACGGCAAAGGGGCTGTCCACAATCACTGCAACTACAACTGGGCTGTCGATTGCGGACACAGAGTCCACGATCGTAAGAAGAATATAGATACTGAATAATGTTTTAAATAAAATGAAACAAATCCATCATTGTATTATTTTTTTAGCTACCCCATTATCGACTGAAGGATGCCTGTACCACTTTGGAATCTACCCAGACAGTGCAGATTGCTCCACAACTTATGTGAAATGTGCTCACGGAATACCTTATCCACAACATTGCGAGGTAATAGACAATAGTAATAAAATATCCCCAATTTATATTAAACTATATGACCCGACAGACGTTGTCCTGTACCCATGCCTACAAATATAATATACTAATATTTACCGTTTACATAAAAATAATAATTATTGTTTTTTATATTACTCTTCACGCCAAAATGCATATACATTTTACAATATGAGCGATGTTAAATGTAGAACTGCTTTAAATAAAATGATGAGTATCAATTCCCATACTATATTCGAAATTGAATTCTTTTAAACGGTATAACATAACCATAACCATAACATAACACTGGTGCTTCATGTTGGATTAAATTAATTTAATTTTTAATTATTTAAGATATCTAAAATTGCATCTTAAACTTCTCCTAATCGATATCGTTAGGGCTGAATTGTATGCATTCATCTTTACTTTTCCGTTTGTTGTTCTGAAGTGAAATTTTTACGAATTTTAAAAATTATATATTGAAAAAAAACTATATTGAAAATTTAATATCCGAATCTTGTGTTGGCGCCCCCTAAGGCGTGCGCTCGTATTTTTCGCATGCATTGCATTAAAGGTAGGCTGATTAATACTTAATTTAATATTTTAAGTGAATTAATTTGTCATATCCTGTTCACATGTGTATCATCCAATCTGCCATACATATACTGTATTTTATATTATTTTAATTTCTGGCACATGTCAGCTGCTTTTTGGCAATAATAATGTAGACATTTCATTTTTAACTATCCGTAGGGTAAGTTATTGTAAAGGGCCGAAAATCGAAATCGAAAATTTTTACATTTCTCGACGTTTTGAAGGTTTCAGAAAATTTTGGTATACTTCAGAAAAAATGGATGTGTGTGTGTGCATATGTGTGTGTGTGTGTGTGTGTATGGATACAAATTTCCAGTCACGTTTTCGGGCGCACGAATCAACCGATTTGAATGGTTCAAAAAACATTCGATTCCTATTGATAGGGAGAAGAGCTGATTAGTATTTGGTAAAGGCAGGTCCAGCCGTTTCGGAGATACGGAGCAAAGAGTGCAGAAAATAGAAATTGAGTTTTTGAGAGAACGGAGCATCCTACTTGAATTATCTAAAAAACATTCAATTAGTAATGATTGGGAGAAGTGGTTATTAGTTTTTAACAAAGGCAGGCCTAACCATTTCGGAGATACAGAGCTAAATGTGCAAAAAATGGCATTTTTGAGAAAACTAAGCGTCCGATTTGAATGATTTAAAAAACTGTCTGCTTGTTTTAACAAAATAATTGATTTGAAAAAAAAAAATTGTTTCAATTTTTTTTTTCTAAAACAATTTTTTTTTTATATATCAAAAATAATTTAGATTTTAATTGTAATTCTGACTAAAGTTCTAATGTACTTTAAACAAATATGTTTAACTTTGCAATTCAGTTTATATAATTCTTATAAATATTAGACAATGTTTTTTTTTTCATTTATTTCTATAATATTGCATATAAATCCCAGTACTTTATAATCACATACATCCTCAAAAATTTCCTTAACAAACTTCAGAAGGATTTATCAAAATTCGAATAATCGTTTAGGAGGAGTATACAGTGAGTGCTTGCAATTTAATATGAACTTTATATAATAGCAATAAAGCTCAAATTGATTCTACGTTTTAGTTAGAAAACGTTTGTATGAGAAAAAAAAGGGCTGTTTTTAGGGTTTTCCCGGAAATTATTCGATTCTTTCTCGCTGTGAGAACCATCCTTGGATTTCAACAAACATTTTAAAAAAAGAATTCGCCAAATTGGTCCAGGCGTTGTTGAGTTATGCGCTCACCAACACATTTTGCGATTCATTTTTATATATAAGATTTAATCATTTTGCAGCCTGGACTAGCCTATGATGACAGAACTCACTCGTGCAACTGGCCTGATCTTTTACTTGACATATGCAACCCTGAAGGTATTACATATTATAACTTTTTAGTAAAGTATGTATTTATATATATATAACTTTTATTATTAACAGCTGTCGTTGGATTCAAATGCCCGACAAAAATCCCATCAAACACTTTGGCTGCTAAATTCTGGCCGTTCCCAAGATTCCCAGTGCCTGGAGACTGTCACAGACTCATTACATGCGTAGAAGGTACAGTAACTGATAAATAACAAATATGTATAACTACTATATGACTATTACTACCTAGGTCATCCCCGTCTGGTTTCCTGTGGTGACAAACAATTATTCGACCAAAATACCCTGTCATGTCTGGACCCCGAAGAGCACAACATTTCCTGCAACGGCAAACATTTGTAATTTAAACAAGCAGACACAATCATTTCAATAATTTTAATAGCAAGAAATGTAGCTGCAAGCTCTCTCTAAAATGTTCTAAATACAATCATGTTATGTTATTAATTTATATATTTTAATATGATCTCTTTCAAAAACAAATATATATGTAGAATCAAATTTGTAAATATGTTTTCAAATTATACAAATATATATTAATATTTATAAATTGTTAGTTTTTTTTCAATTTTTAGATCTGACTTACGTAAGTCACGTACGTTGCCCTCAGATAAGTTTTAACTAATTTATACACTATTTTAAGCACTGAAAAACATTTTTAATAAACCATAAGAACTAGAATAGCTTAAATAATTCAAACATATATAACACACTTATTTTATTATTAAAACACAATAAAATTAAATACAAATTTGCTTTTCACTGTACGTCAACGATCTTCTTCCAAATTTCGCGACATGTGCAAAAAGTGTTGCCACATTCTAATATAATATTTTTTTCAAAAATAAATAATAAATTTTGAATTTGCTTTATTATAATTTTAAATATATTAATATTATGTGTTTATAATCAATTTGTGAATAAATAATAATAAAAATTTAATTTTAGCGCGTCTTATATTATAAAATAATTCGATTTAAATCAACTGTCAAAGTAATGTGTTGCCACATTAACCAATATTTTTTTCAAAATTAAATTATAAACTTTGAATTTGCTTTAATATAATTCTAAATATATTAATTTTACGTGTTTATAATCAATTTGTAAATGAATAATAATAAAAATTTAATTTTAGCGCGTTTTATATTATAAAATAATTCGAATAGGGAACGGGCAAGCTCATAAAAATGTCAGTGAAAACGCCATGACTTCTCGGGGTGGCGAAAAAGTGCAAACAAGGATTCCAAACAAGATGGCGTTTGACAGGTTTTATTTCGTATTTTGACAGGTTTTATTCAAACTTATGTGCTTGTTAAAGATGGTTATTGCTTCTTATAATCGCAATTTTTATTTATTTTTAATAATAATGCGGCATATCTGAGTCACCAATCATGTGCGTATATTAAGTGAAGAAAGCGCATGAATAAGAAAGTGAATTTTGTTATAATTAACGTTAGAAGAAATAAATTGCTTTGTTGGATAGATTCATTGAGGTATGTACTCATAATTAAAATGTATTTGCTATGACCACCATATTAAAACAAACATGTGTTGCTTAAAGGTATGATAAAATTTTCAGACAAGGCCATAAGATATTTTATGATTTGCATGTTGTGTTATCAGCTGAACAAAGTTTAGATCTTTCTATTAGTACTTTGTTGCAGAATGAATCTCATATTTGATAGGATGTCAGGACTTACAGGATTTCTACACTGCAATTTGATTTGATTTAATTGTTTTGTATTATTGCATTACTGCAGGTATGTTTTGTTTTATTGCATAAAAAGATATTACTTAAAAGTTTTAGGAAGCTATTGTATCAGTATATGCACGGTTGAAGAATTTCTCCAAAATTTTATACCGATGAGCAGTATTTGCTAATATTGATAGAAGAGGGTCTCCTCCATAGATTGGTAATTATTTGTGTGAATTTAATATTACATACCTGTTAAAATTTTATACTTTAAATTATATGCTCTCAATGTTTTTTCTTTCAGATTAATTTAGGTACATATAAGAAGTATTCATCTTTGATTTCCAAAAGCTTTCAATTTATGTATTACATATAACATTTATGTACAGTTAATATTATTATACAAGCTAACAGTCATGATACATATATATTTAATCTAATATAAATTAACATTTCTTTCATTTACCATCCCCATCTTATCCAATAATGAAAGTTTGAAGATTCACCAAAATAGGACATAAAAAAACAATATTTTCACCAGAAAATTGATAGTCCTTTGGTATATTACATAAAAGTTTTAAAATTTTCATTCTGTGTATGACTCATTCTACATGTATACGCACACTAGCTTCAAAGTGAGTTTAATTAATATCTCCTGGTGAAAGTAATCCGTTTTAAATTTAATTTTAAACAAATAGCATATGCACAAGTACTGCTATATTTATTAATTTGTCTAACTCAGTCCATATTGATGAAAATCCTGACTATAAAGTACAATTAAAAACTTTGTCTTTTTTACTCATGAATTTACCTTTGTCAGTTAATACAGCAATCCAGATTTTTTTTTTTTATTACGCCCGAGAGTACATTAATTTGGGTTGGAGTGATCTGCCTAAGCCCACATTATAACAAATGAAATAAAGCCATCTGGAGTGCAAATAAATAAGAGAACCTACTTTCAAATACCCTGGAAACTACCAACAAATGAATCTGAAAAGTAAAACCTAAAGCAATATAACTAATTTCTAACTTCATAATTAGTGTTTTCTAAGAATCAACTCACAAATGGATTTTTAATAATGTTTTTATGCATGTAAATATGATCATTTAAGCAAATATTGATTTAATTTACTAAAGCCTCTTCAAA